GTTTTTCTTTTTTAAGACAAGACATTAAAGCACATTTACATGTTAACTTAAACAAGCTTTTTTTTTTTTTTTAAAGATTTTATTTATTTATTTGACACACAGAGAGAGAAATCACAAGTAGGCAGAGAGGCAGGCAGAAAGAGAGGGGGAAGCAGGCTCTCCACTGAGCAGAGAGCCCAATGTGGGACTCAATCACAGGACCCTGAGATCATGACCTGAGCCAAAGGCAGAGGCTTAACCCACTGAGTCACCCAGGCACCTTTTTTTTTTTTTTTTAAAGTAGGCTCCACCCAGCAGAGCCCAACTCACCACCCTGAGATCAAGACCTGAGCTGAGATCAAAGGTCAGACGCTTAAGCAACTAAGCCACCCAGGTGCCCCTTAAGCTTTTAAAAAATGGAAACAAACAAACAAACAAACAACAACAAAAAAAAAAACCCCGATGCAGAAGAGCAAGGGGAGAATTGCTGGAGTACTGCCTTCCAGCGGACCAGAGGGCATGAAAACAGTGCACAAGTAGAGGGCATGGCCTAAGGGTGGAGCACAGACAGGAAAAAGAAGGCAGAGTCTATGGGAGATCATGAGCACAGATGCAGGTGGCAGATGGTGTGAAATTCTCTTCTGATGGCTTCCACTTTTCCGGTGACATGAGAATTAGAGGACAACGGGGAAAATGTGGAAGGTCTGAAGAATGAGAAATCTCAGTAGCCGCCCAGGAGGGTGGGAGGGTGAGGAGCTTATGGGACTGTGGTGATGACTGCCTGGCACCATTAAGAGACCGCCCATGTGAGGTTCACGGTCACACACTTAAAGTGGGAACAGTCAGTACGGTTGCGTGGTTTTCTCCAGGCTCCTTCGGCCTGGGTGCAGGTTCTGAAAGCCGAATCTAACCATCATTGGATCTTCTCCACTCCAGCGACCTCCTCAGTGGTCTTTCCTGATCATCAATTCTAAAGGTGTCCTACTTCTCAAATTCTTGCTATGACATCACTTTGTCGTCGCTATCTTTACCTAACTCCGCACCCCAACGCATCCACAAGCCCCCAACCCCCGGCACCATAAACCTGTCTGTATCGTTCACAACCCTATCCCAAGGCCCAGAACAGGGAGTGCCTGGGCCACAGCAATCCCTCAGTAACAAAAAAAATACCTATATCCTTGAGGGAAAGTGCACTATAAACAGTAAAAAGGTTTTAACACGGGAAGGGATTATTACATTTGTCGTACTCATCGCTGGTCGTCAACCTGTAAACTGTAATTAATTCTAAGGGGACAGACGTGATCCCCGAAGTGATAAGCAATCACCACTAGTGTCACTTTGGCAACGGACACTTGAATGCTAGGCCCTGGCGGGGTCTCCTACTCCCCCAGGATCGCGGTGCACCCCTCAGAGTCCCCGACCGGCTGGGGAAAGCCAGACCGCCAGCAACTTCACTTTCCGCAGCACAGCGCCCAAGCGACTCAGCGCCCCGCGTCGGCTGGCACTGCGCTCTGCACACACCCGTGCACACCCTGCACACCTGCGCCGTCCCTCCGACGCGCAGCCGTCCATCCTCCTCCTCCTCCACAAGAGATCTCGGGGCCGCAGGCGGCGCTCCCCAGACAGCCGCCAGCGGCCCTCCGCCCACGCGCGCTCCCCCTGTCCCCGGGCTCCGGCGGCTAGTGGGGCCGCGGGTACAACAGCCCTGGGCCGCCAGACTCGTGCCCCTCGGACCCCGCGGGCCCGGCGCCCAGCCACACCCACCCTCACAGAGCGCCCGCAGACCCTCACCTGCTGCAACATGACGGCCCTGCGCCAGCCCCACTTCCGGGAGCCACGTCAGCGTCGCAGCTGACGCAACCTGGTAGCCACAGGAGGGGAGGAGCAAAACACAAGCCCGGCCCACTCCCACTTCCGCTTCCAGGTGCTTCGCGGAGCGGGGAGAGAGGGAGTAACGGCGGGGGCGGTACGAGCTCGGGGCGGAGCGCGAGGAAGGCTGGCGTCCCGCCGGCGTGGCAAGCTCGGGACGGAGCTGGAGGGCGGCCGGCTGCCCCGGAAAGGAGCGAGCATGTGGGCGGGGTTTCTGGGGCGGGACGAACTCAGAGGGCGGAGCGAACTCGGGGACGAGGCTCGCGCGAGGGTGGTGGGCGGCTCGGGGGCGGGGCGACGTGTGGGCGGGGCGACGTGTGAGCCGGGCGTCCGGGGCGGGGCGGGTGGCCCAGGGGCGGGGCTAGCGGGAGCCTGGGCTAGTGAGTTTAGTGGGCGGGGAAGCGCGGACTGTGCAGGGGCGGGGTCTGGTCCAAGCTGGAACCGAAGACAGGCTCGCTTCTAACAGCATCAGTAACGCTCCCCCACTCTCGGTCAACTTCAGGGTGAAAGCTTTGTGGTTTGGCACGTGGGGATGTGGTTGCCCGCATTGGTATCCCGAGAGCGAGGGGTGTGGAGGACGGGCCTTATTACAATACAGTTGCATTTTGTTTGAATGTTTTACACTGTGTGTACATGTATTATTTTATGTGTACCTTAAATTATAGAAGCAACTGAAAAAGATAAAGGTGCTCTTGCGAAGAGGTGGAAGGGCATTAAGAAGAAACCAGGCAGAGGACTGTATACTATGGAGAGTTTTGTTGTTGTTTTTTAAGATTTTATTTATTTATTTGACCAACAGAGATCACAAGTAGGCAGAGAGGCAGGCAGAGAGAGATGGAGAGGGAAGCAGGCTCCCTGCTCAGCAGAGAGCCCGATGCAGGGCTTGATCCCAGGACCCTGAGATCATGACCTGAGCCAAAGGCAGAGGCTTTAACCCGCTGAGCCACCCAGGCGCCCCACAATGGAGAGTTTTTTCGTGGGAGGAATACAGGCCAGGAAACAGGAATAGAGGTTGAGAGCATGGGTTTGAGTCCCCGCTTTTCCAGGTACCCAACTAACCTCAATGTACGTCTTCACTCAGTTGTAAAGTGGGGTTGATAATGGTATCTGAACAGGTTCAGTGTGCTTAGTAAATAGTGAATGTAATTCTTACTACTGTTTTAAGTTTAATCGCTGGAGATGTCATTTTGCTCCGTGAAGGACCTGACATTCAGGGACCTCATATCCTCCTTGAAACTGTGATTATAACAATGTGACTGTAGCGATATCCTGTCTGCCTGGCCCACATCAGAGGGCTGTTGGGAGACTCATGGAATAATGTGTGTTAGCACATTTCCTTCATTGAGGGGATCCTTTCCATAGAAATCACAATTTTTACATGGCTGTTTACTAGTGCTGCATTAACTCTTTTTTTAGGATTTTATTTATTTATTTGAGAGAGAGTGAGTGAATGGGAGGGAGACGGAGAGAGACTCTGAAGCCAACCCCACACTGAGCCCAGAGCCAACCTGGACTCCTTCTGATCTTCCTGGGTTTAATTAATTTGCTAGAGGGGTTCACAGAACTCAGGGAAACTTACATGTACCAGTTTATTAAAAGATTTAGATGAACAACCAGATACAGACACACAGAGCCAGGTCTGGGAGGGTCCATGGAGTTGGGGTACCTCACCCAGTACATGGATGTGTTCACTAACCTGGAAGCTCTCTGAATCCCATGCTATTGAGTTTTTATAGAAGCTTCATCACGTAGGCATGAGGGATCATTAACTCTATTTCCAGCCCCCCTCTCTCCTCTTTGGAGGATTAGGGGAGTTGGGGGGGGGCTTAAATATCCAAGCTTCTAATCCTGGCTTAGTCCTTCTGATGACCATTCCCCCATGCAGGAGCCATCCAGGAGCCCACTCTGAGTCCCCTCATTAAAACAAAAGATGCTCCTAGTGTTTCTATCAGTTAGAAATTTATTAGGGTTTCAGAAACTCTATGCCAGGAACTAGGGGCAGAGACCAATATATATTTTCTATTATCCTACACTATCCGATGGTCATGCTCAGCCACCGAGGTCATGCTCAGCCACCAAGAAACTTGGATAGGGCTTGAACTCTCCAATAGGCTATAGCTCCCATAGTGTGTGGCACCCTTTTCAATTACCTGCCTGGTCCCTGACACCATCCTTGGAAGGTCTGGGTGAAAACATCAACACACTTGATATTAGTGTTCCTCTTTGAAAAAAAGAGGAGTATGGTCAATTCTGTTCCATAGAAGTTAGCTCTGAGAAGGAAAAGAACACATAATGTTCTCAAATGCAATAGGTCAGCCTCAGTGAGGGCTTCTCCTTTTAGATTCTTTTTTTTTTTTTTAAGATTTTATTTATTTATTTGACAGACAGAGATCACAAGTAGGCAGAGAAGCAGACAGACAGAGGTGGAAGCAGACTCCCTGCAGAGCACAGAGCCCGATGTGGGGCTCGATCCCAGGACACTAGGACCATGACCTGAGCCGAAGGCAGAGGCTTTAACCCACTGAGCCACCCAGGTGCCCCTCCTTTTAGATTCTTAATTGAAGGGGCACCTTAAATTGAAGGGTGACTCAGTTGTTAAGCGACTGCCTTTAGCTCAGGTCATGATCCCAGGATTCTAGGATGACACCCCACACCAGGCTCCATGCTCGGCGGGATGCCTGCTTCTTCCTCTCCTACTCCCCCTGCTTGTATTCCCTTCTCTCACTGTGTCTCTGTCAAATAAATAAATAACATCTTTTTTTAAAAAATAGATTCTTAAGTCATTGAGTTTCATCAGGCTTCTGTGCAAAAATACCAGGGAATTCCATTGCATTCTTATGATACAATCCCATCAGTTCATTTGCTACCAGAATGATGGCACTAAATTGGTGGTGATGAGTGGTATCTAATTTCCAAAGGTCACTTTCCCATCACCCACCTGAAGCTGGATTTTCATAAGTTTCATTAAATGGTTTCCAGTGGGACTACAAATGTCATTCTCTCCCAGCAACACCCCCCTCCCTGCCTCTGTTTTCTTGATTTGATCTTATCAGTCTTTTGGCTTATAGGAAGATGATTAAGACCTCCCACACTGCCAAGGGACAATCCAAAATAAACAAACAAGCAAAACAAAAAGGACAAACACCAACATCCTCTTGGGTTCTCTGTTTATTCTAAGATGTTCATTTCCCAAGGCTGGTTCAGATAAATACGTTTTGTCCAAGTTCAGGGGCTGCTGTCTTCCCTTGCTTCATGAAATGATCGATCGGCAGGCCTTGGATCTTCCTGATCCAGGCAGCTCTGCTAGCTTTTTCTGGACTGACCACGTCTCTGGGCTTTCTGGCCTGGAACTCCTTCATTTTGGCCTCCCTATACTCTTTCTCCTCCTTTACGGTCAACAACATGAACTCGGTGTTCATTCTAAAGGGATCAAGGGTTGTGTAGAAACGAGGTCGATCTTTCTTGATGGACTTGGTTCGCATGCCCACGGAGGGAGCCAGCATGCGGTTCGGTTTAATGACCTGCAGGCTGGTTAAAGGGCTACAGCTACGCACTGTCCCGCCGATGGGGCCGGTCGCTTGGTCTTCTCCCTTAAGGCCACCAGCAAATCTGGGGTAGACGATCACAGGCTGGGGTATGGTGGACTGGACTCGGGGACTGTGCAAAGAGTTCTTCAGGTTGGGCTGCAGTTTCTGGATCTCCAGGGGAATACTGGTTTGCTTCACGTCGATGGGTGGGTTGCTATGTCGCAACCTATTAACTGCCTGTTGGACCAATATTCCTTTGAAATTCAGAACCTTCCTTGGGTGTGAAATTGAAGGTCCCCAGGCATCAATGACTTGGGTTTGGGGCCTCCGGGGATAGGCAAACTCCCCTGACTTATGGGCCTGCTGCAGGGCATTCACCGTGAGAAGGAACTGGTCCGGTGACATGGGGATTTGCCAGCGCTTTTTCTTTGAGCGCCTGATCAAGTCTCCAGGTGGAACTTTCTCCTCGTCCTCTGGGTTTTCAAAAACGAAAAGAAAACAAAAGCAAGTCAGAGTGTGCCATGAAAACTGGTAAGTAGTTATGCATGAAAGTTAAACCTATTCTTTTTTTTTTTTTAAGATTTTATTTATTTATTTTTCTTAAAAAAAAAAAAAAGAAAGTCGAGTTCGAGGGAACACACCTCAACATAATAAAGGCCATATATGACAAACCCACAGCTAACATCATACTCAATGGTCACACACACACAAAGGAATATTACACAGCCATAAAAAGGATGAGATCATGACATTTGAAACAACACAGTAGACCTGGAGGGTATTATGCTAAGTGCAATAAGTCAGACCAAGAAAGACAAATACATCATTTCACTCATAAGTGGAATCTTTAAAAAATGAATAAACAAATTTTAAAAATCGACCTATAAATACAGAGCACAAACAGATGGTTGCCAGAAGGAAGGTGGTGGGGGCTGAGCAAAATGGGTAAAGGGAAGTGGGAGACACAGGCTTCCAGTAAGGAAATGAATAAATCATGGGAATAAAAGGCATAGCATGAGGAATGCAGTCAATGAGACTATAATAGGGATATATATGGGGACAGATGGCAGCTAGACTTGTAAACACACTATAATGTATAAACTTGTCAAATCATTATGTTGTGTAACCTGTGTGTCAACAGTACTCAAATTTTTTAAAAAGGAATTGTGATGACTCATTGTTCATTAAGGTATCTTTTTTCGTATAATAATATATTGTGAATCTCTTTCCAAGTCACCGTGTGTGGGTCCTCGTGATACAATTTTTAGCTATTAGATAATATTCCACAGTATGAAATTTTCCATATTGACTTAGTCATTGCCCACTGGTGGACATTTCGTTAGTGATCAACTTTAAAAAAAATGTAAATACCATTTTTACTTATCATATAAGCAAGCACAAAATGATTGGATAACACGTATTTGGGCATGGGTAGAGTAGGAGCTCTCACGCATTGTTGGTGGGACTATAAATAGATCTATCATTTTTTAAGGGTGATTATGATAATATCTTTCTAAACTTTTTAAATTTTTATTTGTTTATTTTTTAAGTAACCCCCTCAAGGTGGGGCTTGAACTCATGACCCTGAGATCAAGACCTGAGCTGAGATCAGTAATCAGATGCTTAACCAACTGAGCCACCCAGGCATCCATCTAATTTTTTTTTTAATCTAAAGAAAATTTATCAGTTATGCTAGTGTCCTCCTCTTTTTTTATTATTTAAAAACATTTTTAGGGGCGCCTGGGTGGCTCAGTGGGTTAAAGCCTCTGCCTTCGGCTCAGGTCATGATCTCAGGGTCCTGGGATCGAGCCCCGCATCGGGCTCTCTGCTCTGCAAGGAGCCTGCTTCCCTCTCTCTCTGCCTGCCTCTCTGCCTATTTGTGATCTCTCTCTGTCAAATAAATAAATAAAATCTTTAAAAAAAAATTTTTAATTCCAGTATACTGAATATACAGTTTATATTAGCTTCAGATGTATAATACAGTGATTCTGTACATTCCCCAGTGCTTATCACGTACCCTTGACCTATTTTACCCACCCCTCACCTGGTGTCCATCAGTTTGTTCTGTACAGTTAAGGGTCTGTCTGTTTTTTGGTCTTTTTTAATTTGCTCCATTTGTTTCATTTCTTAAATTCCACATAGGAGTGAAATCATACAACATTCGTCTTTCTCTTTTATTTCACTTAGCATTATAGCCCTTAGATCCATCCATGTTGTTGCAAATGAAAAGGTTTCATTCCTTTTCATGACTGAGTAATATTCCTATCTCTCTCTCTCTCTCTCTCTCTCTCTCTGTGTGTGTGTGTGTGTGTGTACACTACCTCTTTTTTTTCCAATTTTTTTAAAATTTTATTTATTTATTTATTTGAGAGAAAGCATGAGTGGGAAGGGCAGAGGGAGAGAGAACCTGAAGCAGACTCTGCATAGAGTCCCAACGCAGGGCTAGATCTCATGACCCTGAGATCACAACATGAGCCAAAGCCAAGAGCCAGCCGCTTAACCAACTGAGCCATCCAGGTGCCCCATTATCTTTCAGATTTTTAAAGGCACTTTGGCTCAGCAATGCAACTCCTAAGACTTTACCCTACAGGCATACCGATACAGGTACCTAAACATAGGTATATTCAAGGATTCCGCTTGTTAGTACAGCCCTTCTAAAACTTAACTGTTTCACCCTCACCCTGAAGCTGGTCTCTCCAGGGAGTTTGATTCAAAGAACCACTATTATATTAGCCAAAAATATTGGAAAGGCATTTTAAATCTTTACCAAAATCTCTCTCAAAAAAACAACAAAGGGACACCCTATTCATGATGACACACCAGTCCAAGAAGTGAGAAATCTCAGTGGCCCGACAAGGGAGGCAGGCTGTGAGCCCCAAACCGGAAAGGCAGCTCTTACAAAGGTGTTTGTGCTGTGGCCTCAAGTTAATAAGGGGACGATTAAGGAAAACCCATCCCCCTTAAGAAAAGTCAGATGTTTTTATCCTTCCTGAATTCTCAAAGAGTCACTGATTTGCTGAAACACTAGAGGGAACAGAGAGAGTGAGCAATAGAGAGAGGGGAAGGGAGGGGGGGGATGTTGCCCCTGGTCTGGAGTAAAATATCACCGTTTGTTGTATCTCCTGCGAGGGATTTTGCTTCCAAACTCTCTTGCCCACCATCAATGCCACGTGCTTCCTTAGGAAGAGCACTCACTCTCTTCTTGCCATCTCTCTGGGGTGATTTTGACTTTCTTTGACTTTTAGGTCCCTCTGATAAGACTTCTAAATGAAGATTAAGGAGGAAATCATTGTAATTACATAATTCAATGAGGTCTAAATAATGGGGGCATAGCTGGTAATTTGGCTGATTCTCACCCAAACCGTCACCTTGTTGTTTGTTGTCATATGACACTAGGTAAGCCAACTGGAGCCAAAGGCTACAGCCCCTCCTGCCTTTCCTCTCACCCACTTTTTCAACTGACTGTCAAGCTTTACACATTATCTACACTGGCTGGCCTCTGTCCTCCAAAGAGAACTAATCATTTGTCTGTGTAACGTACCAGGACGTGACCTCTTGATGTTCTCTGTAGACCTGTGGATTGAGTTCCACATGCCAAATGCAGGACAGGTGAAAGGAAGGAGTCTGGATACTCTAGCCCACACCTAAATTATTCTTTGTGTCTTAAAATGGCATTCCATATCACACACACACACACACATTTCTGCTTCTTACTAATATTTTCTGGGAATGTATGTTATCAATCAGGACTCTAGAAATAATACATTCTGCCTAGAACATTATTCTATGGCATAGTAATAGCTTGTCTCTGTTCTAAGGAAATTATTATGTAATGTATGTTTGGATGGGGTGGAGAGTGTTGGTGGTTTCTAGCTTGAAAGGCAAGTACAAAGGGTCAGTGTTATCTACTATACAAAGATTCTAGAATGTCTGGTAAACCCAGGCCTTGAAAATCAGGAGATCCTCTTGAGCTGGAGAACAGGATCCCACCTTCCTTAGTAGTTAGGATTTACATCATCAAGAGATCATTGGCTAAAATATCCTACAAAGAAGCTAGTCCCGCCACCACCACCACCACCACCTGCACCATTAGGAACCACCGAGGTGGCCTGGGATTCAGCCCCCTTACCTGTAGGTACCCTGGTGTCCTTCAGGAAAACTCGGGACCTGTATGGTTTACTTAACAGGGACTCCTGACCCACAGTTTGTTTACTGGACATCGAGTCCCTTGGGCTGAAAACCTGAGTGCTAGACCTGGAGGCAACTTCTGTGAGGTCATTTTCTTCCCTGTCCTCGTCTTTATCTTTCTTCTTTTGTTTGGCCTGGTCCACGGAGTACTGCCACTTTATATTCTCAAACTGGAACATGAGAATATTGCTCTCAGTGTTGATCACCATCCTGGAACCGAAACAATAAGATGGCCCACAAAAGGCAAGAAAGCCACCACTGCCCAGCCTCCGAATATGCATTTCCAATACTATCCCATCCAACCGTAAGCCCGAGGGAACAGTGCCTGAGATATGACTGTACAAAGAGGGTGGTGGAGGCTGTTAGAGGGTCTGGAGTGGTGAATGGTCGCAGGCCAGGCAATGGGGGCATGGGGAAAAGGGTCCTCTTGAAAATTAACTGTAAGCAGGGCACGTATGTTCTGATTCCTTCAGTTTTCAAGTTAAAATATCTTTTTCAATATTTTATTTATTTATTTGACAGAGAGAGAGATCACAAGTAGGCAGAGAGGCAGGCGGGTGGGGGGGGGAGGATCCCCACCGAGCAGAGAGCCCGATGCAGGGCTCGATCCCAAGACCCTGAGATCATGACCTGAGCCAAAGGCAGAGGCTTAACCCATTGAGCCACCCAGGTACCCCTCAAGTTAAAATATTTTTAAATGAATTTCTGTTCATAGAGTGAGTACCGAGTCCCTAGCGTGCCCCAAGCAGAGAGGTTAGGGACTCTGTACATTGATGTCTTGAAATTCACTTTTTTTTTTTAAAGCACAGTATCTAAATGCCATGTTTTATTGCTGTGATGGGGACAAAGAGAACTCTAGTGGGAAGGACTCTGCTCCCTTGCTGACCCTCCCGCCCATCTCTGTCCCTCTGTCCTTAAACGGTCTCTATGTATGCTCTGCATTTAAACAGAACAGTTGTGCTTTATAAAGCAGGATGATTTCCATCTTTCCTAATGCACATGTTTATGCCCTGGTAGGAAAAAGAGTTCTAAACCTGGGCCCCCCCAGCAGGGACCACCAACCACCCACTGGTTTCTGTCATTCTCAAAGTTCACAGAGCCCGTTATCTACCCTACTCTCTGCCTAGATCTCCTAGAAGTATAAAGGAGCAAGGGAGATATCATGTGTGGGTTCCTTTCCGTTCCAAAAGGCTGAATTTTAAGACCTTCACGGTTAGTGTAAACTCTCTTAAAGAGTGACTTGTTTGGGGATGCCTAGATGGCTCAGTCCATTAACCTGCTGCCTTCGGCTCAGGTCATGATCCCAGGGTCCTGGGATGGAGTCCCACATCGGGCTCCTTGCTCAGCGAGGAGCCTGCTTCTCTCTTGGCCTCCGCCTGCCACTCTGCCTGCTTGTGCTCTTTCTCTCTCTGACAAATAAATAAATAAAATCTTTTTTTAATTAATTAATTAAAAAGAAAAAGAGTGACTTGTTTTGGTTAGAAATGCTAGCATGGAATTTGGAGAATCATTCCGATTAGGATTCCCGTTCTGACTCATTTTTACTCAGGTCCAAAGGCAAATGTCTCTCTTCAGACATCATAAAAAAGAAAAGGTCAGAGGTAAATTTTTTTTTAATGGCACTATTACTTTGAAACTGAAAAAGTGTCCCTTGATGGAGACTTCTTACCAGTCCTGCCCCTTTTAGATGGGAAATAGCCCTAGTATGGTTTCATTAAAAGGAAGGCAACATGGTTAGGAAAGATGGAAAGATATCTCAAGTGAATGCAAAAGTTAATTCTATTTGGGTATTTTCACATACTATCACCCTGAACCTAGCCTATGACAAATACAATATGACATACACATGGTCACAGTTCTGGTTTCTGTAAAACTCACCTGCTCAGCTCTGCCCCATGGGACACTGGACCCCCTGTTCCTACCATCCCACTCCCCGCCTATAAGTTTCTGTGCATCAGAAGCGAGCATCAGAGATGGCTGGTCAGGGAGCAAACGGGGCTGCCCATTTAGAGCAGAGTCATACCGTACTCACTGCCTGATTGGCCCAGACATCCAGAACAAATTCCGAGTGACATGAACCCTGCTTGCTAAGCTTTGTGCAACGTCTGATCCATGCCCCCCATATGACTATTGACCCTTCTCCAGCCAAAATTGGAGGGTACCATGGCACCCTCTCTCCTACTGCCAGCAAATGCAGGGCTGGCATCCCAGAGGAGAAGAAAATGATCCAAACGGAAGAGCTCACAGCCCTGACCTCCACACCTACCACCCTACCTGTTGCCCTGAATAAAGAAGGACAGCACAGGATCACCTCTGCCATTGACTTTCATCACCTTCAGACAGTTCCCATTGAGGAAATTGTAAATGCGGATCTTGCCATCAGCACAGGCACTGATGACCCGGAGGAAGAGAAGGGCCACGTGAAGCACCTCCCTGGAAGGAAACAGAGCAACAGGCAGTACTTGTCTTCTGGGAAACTGCGTGGGTTTGTTTGTAGCTTGGAGGATTTTGTGTGCATGCCTGGGAACCATTGGTCATGACTGCCCTCCCTGTGATGTCTGCCGTCACTTCATAATTCCGGATGTAAGCCATTAACCCTCAAGACATGCTTGCACCCTCTCCTCCCATTCTGCTGTCACATTTCCTGCAAATTGGTCACAGTGCCCCAGAATGGCAACAGGCAAAGGCTTACGTCATCGTGGCTCTTTGTTTTGTATTGCGTTGGTCTGATACGGAGGCGACCATGGTTTTTCTCTTACAGTTTGGTTCCTACCTACTGACTTCTACAAAAGTCACGCAGAGAAGTACTTAATGTTGTGATTCCTTTTCAAATAGCATTATTGGGTAAAGAAAGAATAGAACGGGTGGGAAAATGATCATCTTTCTATGAAGCAAGAACCTGATATCTCAGCATTTTCTTTTGGGTCTTAAATTAGTGACTTTCAGGCGCGCCTGGGTGGCTCAGTGGGTTAAGCCTCTGCCTTCAGCTCAGGTCATGATCTCAGGGTTCAGGGATCGAGCCCCACGTCGGGCTCTCTGCTCAGCAGGAAGCCTGCTTCCTCCCCTCTCTCTCTGCCTGCCTCTCTGCCCACTTGTGATCTCTGTCAAATAAATAAATAAAATCTTAAAAAAAAAAAATTAGTGACTTTCAGTCTTTCCGTGAAACATCCTAAAGAAACACCGTACCCAGGGATGAGATGCAGGCATTCCCTTTGGCAGTGACCAGCAGAAACAGAGAGAGGACCAGAAGACTTAGATGCCTCCAATAAAACATTCCTACAACAGCTGCAACCAAGTGGGACTCCAGACAGTCTGAAGTATTCAATTCTGCAAAATGTAATTACCCTACTCCCGTTAATGGTACTAAAAAGTTGAATCTGGCGCCACCAATTAGTTGGATCTTATGTGCAAATCATGTCCTTCAATCCCTGTCATCTGTACCTATCCAAGCCCCACTCACATGCTAACTTCTCCATAAAACCGCCCTTCATCTCCATTTCCCCTTTCCCGTGCACACATACACGAACTTCAGGCACACTGTAAGATTCTCTGGGGCAGAACGCACATCCTCTTCATCTTTGCATCCCCAGCACCTAACACAAGGCCTAGCCCATAGAAGAAGGTTCTCAGTAAATATCTGTTGAAATGGTGAGTATCAGCTCAATTTCAGAGTATGATCCTTGATACAGTGGGTTAAAAGCATGACATCCATCCCATACCATGTAGCCTTAGCCCTGATCAGATCCAAGAGCCAGATTAGGAAGTTTCAAAGACCCAACCACTAGCAAAATAGAAACAACAAAGACTTTGAAAGGCAGGAATATGCTTAGCATGTTCAAAGGACAGCAAAAAGGCCAATGGGGCTCGTGTGATGGATAGATCAAGCCATCAATTGATCACTCATTCTGAAGTGTGAAAAAAATGTAAAAGAAGTCCAACAAAGTTCTCATTTTATGTCTAAGATGGAAATATAATACATTTATTGGTGTCTTAAGTGCATCCTAGTCTACCTGTAGAGAGAATCCAGAGCTAGGAGAGATGGCCCTGTGGTAGAAGGGTTTGACTCTTTCTGTACCTCTTTTGATTTTATGGAGCTGGACCTACACTTCTCATCGGCTCCTGTGGCATTTGATATTTCAACCTATACCATTATGGCCTAGTAATATAATAGAGCACAGGCTTTAGGATCAGAAAACCTGGATCCAAACTTGGGTCTACCACTTCCTGGCTGCGTAACCTTGAAAAAGTAACATGACTCTCAGTCTTTAGTTTTGTCTTCTATGAAAAGGAGGTAGTGATTTCTGCCTCAGAGGGCTGCTGTCAGGGTTAAATTAATGGAGGTATTTTTCAAACAGCCCAGTATCTGACACAATAATGGTTACTAGGAACCTGTCATAGCTCCACCTGCATTCAGGTTTTCTCTCTGCCCTAAAAAAAAAAAAAAAAAAAAGTCATTTCTTTCTTAAATCTCCTTCTTTGTTCTTTCTTTATCAAAAGACACTGCAGAGGGGAGCTTGGGTGGCTCAGTGGATTAAAGCCTCCGCCTTTGGCTCAGGTCATGATCCCGGGGTCCTGGGATCGAGCCACGCATCGGGCTCTCTGCTTGGCAGGGAGCCTGCTTCCCCCTCTCTCTCTCTCTGCCTGCCACTCTGCCTACTTGTGATCTCTGTCTGTCAAATAAATAAAATCTTTCAAAAAAAAAAAAAAAAGACTGCAGAGAGTGATGTCAGGAAGAATGGTGGAAGAAGGAACTCCAAAATCCCACCCTTCCCTAAAAACAATGAAAAAACTGGCAAAAACTGTCACAATTAACTTTTTTCAGAACTCTGGAAAATAACCAAAGGCTTGCAGCAATGTAAGAAGCACTCAGACAAAGGATGGCTTTGTATCAATAAGAAGAATGAACTTTGTGGTATAATAACTTACCCAACTCCCATTCCCAACTCCCCAGCTCACTGGTAACCATGAAAGTAACAGCCCACATTCCTGGTACTAGAGGAAACAGAACCAACCTCCTTCACAATGAATTATTTGACCTCTCTCATGGCTTCCTGGAAGACTGGTTCAAAAAGCTTGTCTTTATTTTGCTTTAGTAGGAACTCACCCAATGCTAAAGCCGCTACCTGGGGAGTATTCTTTGAAGGCCTTGACAGTCAAATCTTGTAGTCACTGCTGCCTAAGGCAATAGACATCTGTTGGAGCAAGCAATACACTAACCAAAAAGATTTAACATTAAAGCTGGGGAATAAAATGTCTATTAGGGCTTTGAAAAGCTCAGACACATTCCTGGGACTCTATGTGGCCATATACAGAGCTGTGCACACACTGAGGAAAGACCTCACTCTTAGCTGACCTTGCTGTTCTCCGCAAACAAAAGTAAGAGCTAAGGCAGAGTTGTAAACTGTCTAGCAGAGTGTTGAAAGTTTCCCTCAACAGGTACACAGAGCCCCTTGGCAAAAAAAAAAAAAAAAAATGGGAGATATTTTACTTCCAGGTGTTCAAATAAACCTATTCCACTCAGTCACCACCAAGGTAATAGAACAGAGACTTCAGCGGCCAAACAAGACAATATACAGACTCACTAAGCAAACACACAAGAAAAGCCACAACAGGCAACAGTGAAAACAAACCCTGGGAATGGGGAAGAATTTGATTTCCAGAGATGTCCTATTAAAATATCCAAAATGCCCAGTTTTCAAATAAATATATAAAATATAAAAAGATACTGAAGAGGGGCACCTGGGTGGCTCAGTAGGTTGAGGCCTCTGCCTTCGGCTCAGGTCATGGTCTCAGGGTCCCGGGATCGAGCCCCGCATTGGGCTCTCTGCTAAGCGGGGAACCTGCTTCCTCCTCTCTCTCTGCCTGCCTCTCTGCCTACTTGTAATCTCTGTCTATCAAATAAATAAAATCTTTATTTAAAAAAAGATACTGAAGAGTATATACAGGGGAAAAAGTAATCAATTGCAAAGGTCTGCAAGGAAACCCAATGGTTAGACTTTCTAGATGAAGACTTTATTCTAAACATGTTCAAATAGCAAATAAAAACAGGTCTACAAAAGTAAAAGTATGAAAACAGTGTCTCACCAAATAGAGATTACCAATAAAGAGTTAGAAATTATTTTAAAAAAAAAAAAGTCAAATAGAAATTCTGGAGTTGGCACCTGGGTGGCTCCATCGGTTGAGCATTTGCCTTCGGCTCAGGTCATAGTCCTGGAGTCCTGGGATCGAGTCCTGCATCAGGCTCCCCGCTCAGCGAGGAGCCTGCTTCTCCCTCTCCTCCCCATTTGTGCTCTCTGTCATTATCTCTGTCTCTGTCTCTCTCTCTCTCTCAAATAAATAAATCTTTTTTTTAAAAAAGAAAGAACGAAATTCTGGAGTTGAGGGGCACCTAGGTGGCTCAGTCATTAAGTGTCTGACTTTAGCTCAGGTCATGATGTCAGGGTCCTAGAATCCAGCCCTGCATCGGGCTCCCTGCTCATTAGGGATCGTGCTTCTCTCTCTCCCTCTCCTACTCCCCCTGTTTGTGTTACCTCTCTTGCTGTCTCTCTCTCTCTCTGTCAAATAAATAATCTTTAAAAAAGAAAAAAAAGGAAGAAATTCTGGAATTGAAAATTAAGTAATGGAAATGAAAATTCACTAGAGAAGCTCAACAATACATTCATGTAGGCAGAACAAGCAAAGGAAAGAGAGGTCAATTTAGATTTTTCCAGGCTGAAGAACAGAAAGAAAAAAGAATGAAGACAAATGAACAGAACCTCAGAAGCCTGTGTGACATCATCAAACCGCAACACATGGGTAGTAGGAATCCCAGAAAGAAAGGAGAGAAAGAGGCAGAAATATTTGAAGAAATCATGGCCAAAAGTTTTGCCAATACAATGGAAATCATTAATCTACACATCCAAGAAGCTCAACAAATTCAAACTGTGATAAACTAATGAGATCCACATCTAGACATATCATAATCAAACTGGAAAAAGCTAGAGACCAAGAGAGTATTGAAAGGATCAAGACAGAAGCAGCTCATCACATAAAAAGGATCCTCAGTAGTATCAACAAATGAAGTAGTATCAACAACTGATTTCTTACTGGAAACCATCAGAAAATATGGAGGCCAAAGGCAATGAAATGACATATTCAAAGTGCTGAAAGGAAAAAATAACTATAAACCAAGAACTCTATATCCATCAAAACTGTCCTCAAAAATGGGGTAATTGGGGCACCTGGGTGGCTCAGTGGGTTAAAGCCTCTGCCTTTGGCTCAGGTCATTGTAAGGGCCTGGTTGGCCAGAGGGAGTCATTTTGTGTTTATGTAGTGAACTTAGATTGACCCCGCCCCTCCCAGAGGAACTTACTTGCAAAGCCTAGATACAAGGGCTGGTCAGGCCAAGTGAAGACATCCAATCAGTGGGGCACGCATATATCTACTAGGGTAAATTGAAATTCAATTGGCCACCTGTGTGTTACCTAGCAGTTTTTTTCTGTGTGTGGCAGACTTAGCATGACGGTGCAGTGTTCTCTGTGTATTGCAATCTCATTGGCCACCTGTGTATAGCCCGGCTAAACTACCTCTATAAAAGTTAGTCTGTGAGGCTGGGAGGGGTCTCCTCTTTGCAAGAGGCAGCCCTGACCAGTCACTTTGATTCTCGATGCTTGGCGCGAAATAAAGCTTTGCTTGACCTTCGCTTTGTATCAGTCTCGCTCCTTTGATTACGGACCCTAACAGTCATGATCTCAGTGTCCTGGGATCGAGCCCCACATCGGGCTCTCTGCTCAGCAGGGAGCCTGCTTCCCCCTTTCTCTCTGCCAGCCTTTTTGCCTACTTGTGATCTCTGTCTGTCAAATAAATAAATAAATAAATAAAATAAAATAAAAATTTTTTTAAATGGGGGAATTAAGGGGTGCCTGGGTGGCTCAGTGGGTTAAGCCTCTGCCTTTGGCTCGGGTCGTGATCTCAGGGTCCCAGGATCAAGCTCCACGTTGGGCTTGCCTCCCCCCTTTCTCTCTGCCTGCCTCTCTGCCTACTTGTGATCTCTCTCTCTCTCTCTCTCTGTCAAATAAATAAATAAATAATCTTTTTTAAAAATGGAGAAATTTAGATATTCCCAAATAAACAAAAACTGGGAGTTCACACTAGCAAGAAATGCTATACAGTCTCCCTCATATCAGGGTGGAGTGAAAGGACACTACTAGTAACTGAAATCCGCATGAATAAAGTAGAGGTAACTACCTAGATAAATATAAAAGACAATATAAATGTGGTTTTTCTTTATAGGTCTTTTTTTTCTATCTCATTGAAAAGGCCACTACATGAGGCAATAATTATAAGTCTATGATGATGGATACACAGGATATAATCACCTATGTCATATTCAAAAGATGGGTACCAGTCCCATCATTAGAACTCTCCAGAAAGGCAACCTGCAAGTCGGTCCTCATTACCAATCAATTAGAAGCACTTCCATGTGCACACCACTACTACAGATGAGTAGAGGAGGGCCCTGACAAACAAGAACATTGACTATGTCCTCTACATAGCTATGGACTTGCTGTAACTGTGAAGGGACCAAGGACCAATGTGAATGAGATGTTGGGGCCGTCATTCAATGTCAATGAGAATGGTCTGAGAAGGTCCCATTGCTGAGGTGGAGTGGGAGGCTCACGGGTTGACAGAATGGCAACCAAACTGCTAGGTTTCCTGGGAACAGATTATTTTCCAATACCTAAACTAAATCCTACAGAATCATGCTTGGAGGCTATAATTTTCAGGTGTATCATAAAGTTTGACTCCTGAATTTGATAATCCAGATGATATGCTAAGAAGCTCGCTGATAATCACAGAAAGGTTGGATAATGCACCAAAGAGAAGCCTTGCCCAGCGCCCACTCATCAATGGTGCAATCATACACACAATGAGTAAATATACACAAAAATGACCCAAATCTCCTTCCTCCCACAAAGTCAGTGTGTGCTCAAGAGGTTCCTATGAAGATATGTGGAAATTAGGGCCGTATTTTACTGAATAACTATCCCAAATAGATCCCCTAGAAGATCCATTTACTCCTCTAATCAATTAGGATAGCATTTTGTTTCCTAGAGTTTTTTATAGTGCACTTAGGGGAAGAAGCATTATTCATGTAGTATAAGAGGGACCCAGAGCAAACTATAAAACCCATGCCCATGAAAGAACCATGAACTGACCACAATATCCCTTCCAAGTAAGCTCAGATGTGACCTCAGACTACTTCTCAATTGGCTCCAAGCACCACCACCACAAAATTGGGACTAGAATTATAAAATGAGATCCATTTGCTGTCCTGGAATGGAATGTAGCCAGCAGCCTTATAAGAAAGCTCCTTCTTTAAGCCTTTAAGTTACTTTTAAGCCTTGGTCACCCTTGGGTGACTTTAAGCTTTTGTGAACACAAGCTTCCTGTAGTAAAGACCGACAAACTCCAAGTATTTTAAGTTTCCTGGAACTGGCATTCTTTGGGACAGTTCTGTCAATATTCCTAAGTTTAGTAGACAACGGATACAAACGTATCAGGTGTGTCATAAGCATAACATTTCAATAACTTGTCAAGATCCACATTGAGTACTGTTATTTCTTAGGAGAAATAAGTGATGGTGGGAGAGGGAATGGCCAAATGAGGGGGTGGGATGGGGTGGGGATGGGGAACATGTAGAGGGGACAAAAGGTCAGCAGAGCCTGGAAAGGACTGATCTGCCAAAAACCAAAGTCTAGCTACGAGGGAAAAGGACAGAGTACTACATTCATCAATGAGGGCTTTCCTACACCTACTTTGGATGCTTGTAGGCCATGAGGCACCGCTCGTACTTTCCCACCATGCTCCAGGCCATGACCAGGCCATCAGTACTTCCCGAGAGGAGGTGCCACTGGTCACAGCAGAGACACTTCACGGCTCCCTCGTGGCCACTGAGAGTCTGCAAGAAAAGAGGCCTCTTTTCAGCCCTCTTCAACTCAGATGGTAAGTCCTCCAAGGGCCCAAGCTGGAGGTGTCTTTCAAGGAACTGCAAAGCCACACTCCACCAATCCATGACTGCCACCTGAGCCGATTTCACTTTTGTTCTAAGAAGGCCAGTGGTGTCCATGCCCCTCCCCCCAGAGCTCTCTCTCCCCACTGAAAGAAGAATGTGGTCAGGAAGAGGCCTTGCTCCTGGTGGGTCTGTGGCTGGGGCAGGCCTCATCTTCCTGGAGTACCAGAGGCCAAAATCCACCATCCTCTGCTGCCACATGGCATACGGTCAGGCGTTCCATCCCTAGCTCCTTGCCAAGACCAGAGGACACCTGGGACACCCCTGCACCTGTAACTGCTGATTAGACCATGGGGACAAGACTGATGGGAAACAGTCCATCAGCCAGGCCAGCAGCTTCTCATTTTGCCCCTGTGGTCCTGGCACCAACGGATCTCACCACCACCCACTAGGGCCACGAGGGTTCAAATCCAGAGATATTTTTTAACATGTGAACATTCAATCATTTTCAAGACAGCAGATGTTCTCTTTTTACCACAGAGTTAAGGAGGAGAACCACTGTGACTTTGTCCATTCCCTTACCCATGCAAGAGTCAGGGTAAAATGTTCTGGAGAAGGAAAAGTCACTTTACTTCTGCTGCCGTGAAAAGACCCTGAGTCCGTATACCATGCTGAGTCAGAACGTAGCCTTCTACCACCACCTCAAAGACATGGCCCTCCACTGAGTCAGAATGCCCCTTTTTTGGGGGAGCTCTTCAGGACCCTCCTTTTGGTGACCATAAGTTGGTAGCTTTAGGGTGGTATGGGGAGTCCTCTGGGGGAGACCCTAAGTTTCCTCCAATCCATCATCACCAGTACCCCATTGCCCCAACAGCCCACCACCCTCTCACCTTTACCAACTGGGCCGAGACAACGTGCCACACTTTGACTAACCCTCTCTCACAACTGCTCACAATGTAGGTGTCATTGATCTTGGTGGCCAAGATGGGGTCTTTGTGTTTAAATGTCTTCAGACACTTCCCTGTCTCTATATCCCACTCTGAAAGGGAGGCAGGAAAAGAAGGGGCATGAAAGCAGGTTACAGTGGAGTTCTGGACCCCATCACCGAAGCCAAGCCCATCAAGTCAGACCCTAGAAGGCTGTCACCTGGCCCACCACCCCTGTAGGCTCACCAACAGCTCCGTGAGTCTGCAACACAGAGCTCCCTGACCATGGGCTCCTGGGGAAGCCACCATCCATAGACCTTGGCTCCAACCCTAGAACTTAGTGTTGGGGTCCAAGTGCCAGACAGCTCCTCTCTAATAAGGCTCCTTCTTGAACCTACAAAATACTTGCTATTGAGTGGATTTCAGGAAAATCATGGCATATGTTCCATGGCACCATGCTTTCCAGATGCTGTTCTCCTGACTCACCCCTTCTAGCTCCAAAAGCAAAGAAAGCTGTCTATCCTTATTTACATTTTAAAGTATCTTTGAATCTGACTTTTGGATTTTACTAACTGACAGACTGCCAGAGCTGGAAGCAGCCTTAATGGTGCTTCTACATAGACAGTGATAGGGCAACTGCCTAGCACACTGTAAGGGTTGGGAAGATATGAACGTAGCTGGGTAGGCGGGAGAACAGAGCTTAAAGGAAAGAACTGAAAGGAGGCACTACAGATTCAGGGATGAGACCACTGAAATCGGCCTCGTCGGCCCCAAAGTACCTGTCAGGCAACAGAATGTATAACCTAGGACAAAATAATAACCACGACTGATCCTGACACGTAGCACACACAATGAGCCAGGCACCATTGGGAGTGTTTGACATGCATTAACTCATCTTCCCAAGACAGTTGCTATGATGATTCCCCACAGCGCAGATGAGGAAACAGGGATAGAGAAGTTGAGTAGCCCGCCAAGATCGTGCAGATGGTAAGCAGAATGAGCTGGGATTCGAACCCCGGGAGTCTGGATCCAGAAGCCATGCTCTTAACTGCATATACTAGATTCATCCTAACTAAATAAGTATGCTTTTCTTCACGTGTTTTTTATATACACATTGGCCCTTTCATCTGATTAGAAAGGAGAATGCTGACGGGCATCTGGCTGGCTCACCAGATGGAGTGTCTGACTTCTCGGGTCATGGTCTCAGAGTCTTGGGATCGAGCCCCATGTTGGGGGGGGCTTGTCCCGCTCTCTCTACACTTTCCCTGCTTGTGTTTCTATCTCTGTCTCAAGTAAATGAATAAAATCTTAAAAAAAAAAAAAAATTTTTTTTTAACAAGTTGGGGGTTACATTTCAGGTCTCTAACATCTCTTTTTCTTTCTATGGGTAACCGAGGGAGCTGGGAGGAGCCCAGGGGAGGCAAGCAGGCTGGGGGATGGGGCTAGGATTAGGGTAAGATCTTTTGAAATTTTTTTTTGTCATGTATTTTGTGAATTAATTTTGACATTTTCAATATCGTTTTAAAATGTGTATCTCGAGGGAGCCTGGGTGGCTCGGTTGGTTGAGCAGCGGCCTTTGGCTCAGGTTATGCCCTGGGACTGAGCCCCACACTGGGTTCCCTGCTCAGCAGGGAGCCTGCTTCTCCATCTGCCCCTCCCCCCACTCATGCGCTCTCTCTCACTCATTCTCTCTCAAATAAATAAATAAAAATCTTAAAAAAAAAAAAATGTGTATCTTGAGAAGCGCCTGGGTAGCTCAGGTGGTTAAGCATCTGCCTTTGGCTCAGGTTATGCCCTGGGACTGAGCCCCACACTGGGTTCCCTGCTTAGCAGGGAGCCTGCTTCTCCATCTGCCCCTCCCCCCACTCATGCGCTCTCTCTCACTCAGAGCACAGAGCCCGATGTGGGGCTCGATCCCAGGACACTAGGACCATGACCTGAGCCGAAGGCAGAGGCTTTAACCCACTGAGCCACCCAGGTGCCCCTCCTTTTAGATTCTTAATTGAAGGGGCACCTTAAATTGAAGGGTGACTCAGTTGTTAAGCGACTGCCTTTAGCTCAGGTCATGATCCCAGGATTCTAGGATGACACCCCACACCAGGCTCCATGCTCGGCGGGATGCCTGCTTCTTCCTCTCCTACTCCCCCTGCTTGTATTCCCTTCTCTCACTGTGTCTCTGTCAAATAAATAAATAACATCTTTTTTTAAAAAATAGATTCTTAAGTCATTGAGTTTCATCAGGCTTCTGTGCAAAAATACCAGGGAATTCCATTGCATTCTTATGATACAATCCCATCAGTTCATTTGCTACCAGAATGATGGCACTAAATTGGTGGTGATGAGTGGTATCTAATTTCCAAAGGTCACTTTCCCATCACCCACCTGAAGCTGGATTTTCATAAGTTTCATTAAATGGTTTCCAGTGGGACTACAAATGTCATTCTCTCCCAGCAACACCCCCCTCCCTGCCTCTGTTTTCTTGATTTGATCTTATCAGTCTTTTGGCTTATAGGAAGATGATTAAGACCTCCCACACTGCCAAGGGACAATCCAAAATAAACAAACAAGCAAAACAAAAAGGACAAACACCAACATCCTCTTGGGTTCTCTGTTTATTCTAAGATGTTCATTTCCCAAGGCTGGTTCAGATAAATACGTTTTGTCCAAGTTCAGGGGCTGCTGTCTTCCCTTGCTTCATGAAATGATCGATCGGCAGGCCTTGGATCTTCCTGATCCAGGCAGCTCTGCTAGCTTTTTCTGGACTGACCACGTCTCTGGGCTTTCTGGCCTGGAACTCCTTCATTTTGGCCTCCCTATACTCTTTCTCCTCCTTTACGGTCAACAACATGAACTCGGTGTTCATTCTAAAGGGATCAAGGGTTGTGTAGAAACGAGGTCGATCTTTCTTGATGGACTTGGTTCGCATGCCCACGGAGGGAGCCAGCATGCGGTTCGGTTTAATGACCTGCAGGCTGGTTAAAGGGCTACAGCTACGCACTGTCCCGCCGATGGGGCCGGTCGCTTGGTCTTCTCCCTTAAGGCCACCAGCAAATCTGGGGTAGACGATCACAGGCTGGGGTATGGTGGACTGGACTCGGGGACTGTGCAAAGAGTTCTTCAGGTTGGGCTGCAGTTTCTGGATCTCCAGGGGAATACTGGTTTGCTTCACGTCGATGGGTGGGTTGCTATGTCGCAACCTATTAACTGCCTGTTGGACCAATATTCCTTTGAAATTCAGAACCTTCCTTGGGTGTGAAATTGAAGGTCCCCAGGCATCAATGACTTGGGTTTGGGGCCTCCGGGGATAGGCAAACTCCCCTGACTTATGGGCCTGCTGCAGGGCATTCACCGTGAGAAGGAACTGGTCCGGTGACATGGGGATTTGCCAGCGCTTTTTCTTTGAGCGCCTGATCAAGTCTCCAGGTGGAACTTTCTCCTCGTCCTCTGGGTTTTCAAAAACGAAAAGAAAACAAAAGCAAGTCAGAGTGTGCCATGAAAACTGGTAAGTAGTTATGCATGAAAGTTAAACCTATTCTTTTTTTTTTTTTAAGATTTTATTTATTTATTTTTCTTAAAAAAAAAAAAAAGAAAGTCGAGTTCGAGGGAACACACCTCAACATAATAAAGGCCATATATGACAAACCCACAGCTAACATCATACTCAATGGTCACACACACACAAAGGAATATTACACAGCCATAAAAAGGATGAGATCATGACATTTGAAACAACACAGTAGACCTGGAGGGTATTATGCTAAGTGCAATAAGTCAGACCAAGAAAGACAAATACATCATTTCACTCATAAGTGGAATCTTTAAAAAATGAATAAACAAATTTTAAAAATCGACCTATAAATACAGAGCACAAACAGATGGTTGCCAGAAGGAAGGTGGTGGGGGCTGAGCAAAATGGGTAAAGGGAAGTGGGAGACACAGGCTTCCAGTAAGGAAATGAATAAATCATGGGAATAAAAGGCATAGCATGAGGAATGCAGTCAATGAGACTATAATAGGGATATATATGGGGACAGATGGCAGCTAGACTTGTAAACACACTATAATGTATAAACTTGTCAAATCATTATGTTGTGTAACCTGTGTGTCAACAGTACTCAAATTTTTTAAAAAGGAATTGTGATGACTCATTGTTCATTAAGGTATCTTTTTTCGTATAATAATATATTGTGAATCTCTTTCCAAGTCACCGTGTGTGGGTCCTCGTGATACAATTTTTAGCTATTAGATAATATTCCACAGTATGAAATTTTCCATATTGACTTAGTCATTGCCCACTGGTGGACATTTCGTTAGTGATCAACTTTAAAAAAAATGTAAATACCATTTTTACTTATCATATAAGCAAGCACAAAATGATTGGATAACACGTATTTGGGCATGGGTAGAGTAGGAGCTCTCACGCATTGTTGGTGGGACTATAAATAGATCTATCATTTTTTAAGGGTGATTATGATAATATCTTTCTAAACTTTTTAAATTTTTATTTGTTTATTTTTTAAGTAACCCCCTCAAGGTGGGGCTTGAACTCATGACCCTGAGATCAAGACCTGAGCTGAGATCAGTAATCAGATGCTTAACCAACTGAGCCACCCAGGCATCCATCTAATTTTTTTTTTAATCTAAAGAAAATTTATCAGTTATGCTAGTGTCCTCCTCTTTTTTTATTATTTAAAAACATTTTTAGGGGCGCCTGGGTGGCTCAGTGGGTTAAAGCCTCTGCCTTCGGCTCAGGTCATGATCTCAGGGTCCTGGGATCGAGCCCCGCATCGGGCTCTCTGCTCTGCAAGGAGCCTGCTTCCCTCTCTCTCTGCCTGCCTCTCTGCCTATTTGTGATCTCTCTCTGTCAAATAAATAAATAAAATCTTTAAAAAAAAATTTTTAATTCCAGTATACTGAATATACAGTTTATATTAGCTTCAGATGTATAATACAGTGATTCTGTACATTCCCCAGTGCTTATCACGTACCCTTGACCTATTTTACCCACCCCTCACCTGGTGTCCATCAGTTTGTTCTGTACAGTTAAGGGTCTGTCTGTTTTTTGGTCTTTTTTAATTTGCTCCATTTGTTTCATTTCTTAAATTCCACATAGGAGTGAAATCATACAACATTCGTCTTTCTCTTTTATTTCACTTAGCATTATAGCCCTTAGATCCATCCATGTTGTTGCAAATGAAAAGGTTTCATTCCTTTTCATGACTGAGTAATATTCCTATCTCTCTCTCTCTCTCTCTCTCTCTCTCTGTGTGTGTGTGTGTGTGTGTACACTACCTCTTTTTTTTCCAATTTTTTTAAAATTTTATTTATTTATTTATTTGAGAGAAAGCATGAGTGGGAAGGGCAGAGGGAGAGAGAACCTGAAGCAGACTCTGCATAGAGTCCCAACGCAGGGCTAGATCTCATGACCCTGAGATCACAACATGAGCCAAAGCCAAGAGCCAGCCGCTTAACCAACTGAGCCATCCAGGTGCCCCATTATCTTTCAGATTTTTAAAGGCACTTTGGCTCAGCAATGCAACTCCTAAGACTTTACCCTACAGGCATACCGATACAGGTACCTAAACATAGGTATATTCAAGGATTCCGCTTGTTAGTACAGCCCTTCTAAAACTTAACTGTTTCACCCTCACCCTGAAGCTGGTCTCTCCAGGGAGTTTGATTCAAAGAACCACTATTATATTAGCCAAAAATATTGGAAAGGCATTTTAAATCTTTACCAAAATCTCTCTCAAAAAAACAACAAAGGGACACCCTATTCATGATGACACACCAGTCCAAGAAGTGAGAAATCTCAGTGGCCCGACAAGGGAGGCAGGCTGTGAGCCCCAAACCGGAAAGGCAGCTCTTACAAAGGTGTTTGTGCTGTGGCCTCAAGTTAATAAGGGGACGATTAAGGAAAACCCATCCCCCTTAAGAAAAGTCAGATGTTTTTATCCTTCCTGAATTCTCAAAGAGTCACTGATTTGCTGAAACACTAGAGGGAACAGAGAGAGTGAGCAATAGAGAGAGGGGAAGGGAGGGGGGGGATGTTGCCCCTGGTCTGGAGTAAAATATCACCGTTTGTTGTATCTCCTGCGAGGGATTTTGCTTCCAAACTCTCTTGCCCACCATCAATGCCACGTGCTTCCTTAGGAAGAGCACTCACTCTCTTCTTGCCATCTCTCTGGGGTGATTTTGACTTTCTTTGACTTTTAGGTCCCTCTGATAAGACTTCTAAATGAAGATTAAGGAGGAAATCATTGTAATTACATAATTCAATGAGGTCTAAATAATGGGGGCATAGCTGGTAATTTGGCTGATTCTCACCCAAACCGTCACCTTGTTGTTTGTTGTCATATGACACTAGGTAAGCCAACTGGAGCCAAAGGCTACAGCCCCTCCTGCCTTTCCTCTCACCCACTTTTTCAACTGACTGTCAAGCTTTACACATTATCTACACTGGCTGGCCTCTGTCCTCCAAAGAGAACTAATCATTTGTCTGTGTAACGTACCAGGACGTGACCTCTTGATGTTCTCTGTAGACCTGTGGATTGAGTTCCACATGCCAAATGCAGGACAGGTGAAAGGAAGGAGTCTGGATACTCTAGCCCACACCTAAATTATTCTTTGTGTCTTAAAATGGCATTCCATATCACACACACACACACACATTTCTGCTTCTTACTAATATTTTCTGGGAATGTATGTTATCAATCAGGACTCTAGAAATAATACATTCTGCCTAGAACATTATTCTATGGCATAGTAATAGCTTGTCTCTGTTCTAAGGAAATTATTATGTAATGTATGTTTGGATGGGGTGGAGAGTGTTGGTGGTTTCTAGCTTGAAAGGCAAGTACAAAGGGTCAGTGTTATCTACTATACAAAGATTCTAGAATGTCTGGTAAACCCAGGCCTTGAAAATCAGGAGATCCTCTTGAGCTGGAGAACAGGATCCCACCTTCCTTAGTAGTTAGGATTTACATCATCAAGAGATCATTGGCTAAAATATCCTACAAAGAAGCTAGTCCCGCCACCACCACCACCACCACCTGCACCATTAGCAACCACCGAGGTGGCCTGGGATTCAGCCCCCTTACCTGTAGGTACCCTGGTGTCCTTCAGGAAAACTCGGGACCTGTATGGTTTACTTAACAGGGACTCCTGACCCACAGTTTGTTTACTGGACATCGAGTCCCTTGGGCTGAAAACCTGAGTGCTAGACCTGGAGGCAACTTCTGTGAGGTCATTTTCTTCCCTGTCCTCGTCTTTATCTTTCTTCTTTTGTTTGGCCTGGTCCACGGAGTACTGCCACTTTATATTCTCAAACTGGAACATGAGAATATTGCTCTCAGTGTTGATCACCATCCTGGAACCGAAACAATAAGATGGCCCACAAAAGGCAAGAAAGCCACCACTGCCCAGCCTCCGAATATGCATTTCCAATACTATCCCATCCAACCGTAAGCCCGAGGGAACAGTGCCTGAGATATGACTGTACAAAGAGGGTGGTGGAGGCTGTTAGAGGGTCTGGAGTGGTGAATGGTCGCAGGCCAGGCAATGGGGGCATGGGGAAAAGGGTCCTCTTGAAAATTAACTGTAAGCAGGGCACGTATGTTCTGATTCCTTCAGTTTTCAAGTTAAAATATCTTTTTCAATATTTTATTTATTTATTTGACAGAGAGAGAGATCACAAGTAGGCAGAGAGGCAGGCGGGTGGGGGGGGAGGATCCCCACCGAGCAGAGAGCCCGATGCAGGGCTCGATCCCAAGACCCTGAGATCATGACCTGAGCCAAAGGCAGAGGCTTAACCCATTGAGCCACCCAGGTACCCCTCAAGTTAAAATATTTTTAAATGAATTTCTGTTCATAGAGTGAGTACCGAGTCCCTAGCGTGCCCCAAGCAGAGAGGTTAGGGACTCTGTACATTGATGTCTTGAAATTCACTTTTTTTTTTTAAAGCACAGTATCTAAATGCCATGTTTTATTGCTGTGATGGGGACAAAGAGAACTCTAGTGGGAAGGACTCTGCTCCCTTGCTGACCCTCCCGCCCATCTCTGTCCCTCTGTCCTTAAACGGTCTCTATGTATGCTCTGCATTTAAACAGAACAGTTGTGCTTTATAAAGCAGGATGATTTCCATCTTTCCTAATGCACATGTTTATGCCCTGGTAGGAAAAAGAGTTCTAAACCTGGGCCCCCCCAGCAGGGACCACCAACCACCCACTGGTTTCTGTCATTCTCAAAGTTCACAGAGCCCGTTATCTACCCTACTCTCTGCCTAGATCTCCTAGAAGTATAAAGGAGCAAGGGAGATATCATGTGTGGGTTCCTTTCCGTTCCAAAAGGCTGAATTTTAAGACCTTCACGGTTAGTGTAAACTCTCTTAAAGAGTGACTTGTTTGGGGATGCCTAGATGGCTCAGTCCATTAACCTGCTGCCTTCGGCTCAGGTCATGATCCCAGGGTCCTGGGATGGAGTCCCACATCGGGCTCCTTGCTCAGCGAGGAGCCTGCTTCTCTCTTGGCCTCCGCCTGCCACTCTGCCTGCTTGTGCTCTTTCTCTCTCTGACAAATAAATAAATAAAATCTTTTTTTAATTAATTAATTAAAAAGAAAAAGAGTGACTTGTTTTGGTTAGAAATGCTAGCATGGAATTTGGAGAATCATTCCGATTAGGATTCCCGTTCTGACTCATTTTTACTCAGGTCCAAAGGCAAATGTCTCTCTTCAGACATCATAAAAAAGAAAAGGTCAGAGGTAAATTTTTTTTTAATGGCACTATTACTTTGAAACTGAAAAAGTGTCCCTTGATGGAGACTTCTTACCAGTCCTGCCCCTTTTAGATGGGAAATAGCCCTAGTATGGTTTCATTAAAAGGAAGGCAACATGGTTAGGAAAGATGGAAAGATATCTCAAGTGAATGCAAAAGTTAATTCTATTTGGGTATTTTCACATACTATCACCCTGAACCTAGCCTATGACAAATACAATATGACATACACATGGTCACAGTTCTGGTTTCTGTAAAACTCACCTGCTCAGCTCTGCCCCATGGGACACTGGACCCCCTGTTCCTACCATCCCACTCCCCGCCTATAAGTTTCTGTGCATCAGAAGCGAGCATCAGAGATGGCTGGTCAGGGAGCAAACGGGGCTGCCCATTTAGAGCAGAGTCATACCGTACTCACTGCCTGATTGGCCCAGACATCCAGAACAAATTCCGAGTGACATGAACCCTGCTTGCTAAGCTTTGTGCAACGTCTGATCCATGCCCCCCATATGACTATTGACCCTTCTCCAGCCAAAATTGGAGGGTACCATGGCACCCTCTCTCCTACTGCCAGCAAATGCAGGGCTGGCATCCCAGAGGAGAAGAAAATGATCCAAACGGAAGAGCTCACAGCCCTGACCTCCACACCTACCACCCTACCTGTTGCCCTGAATAAAGAAGGACAGCACAGGATCACCTCTGCCATTGACTTTCATCACCTTCAGACAGTTCCCATTGAGGAAATTGTAAATGCGGATCTTGCCATCAGCACAGGCACTGATGACCCGGAGGAAGAGAAGGGCCACGTGAAGCACCTCCCTGGAAGGAAACAGAGCAACAGGCAGTACTTGTCTTCTGGGAAACTGCGTGGGTTTGTTTGTAGCTTGGAGGATTTTGTGTGCATGCCTGGGAACCATTGGTCATGACTGCCCTCCCTGTGATGTCTGCCGTCACTTCATAATTCCGGATGTAAGCCATTAACCCTCAAGACATGCTTGCACCCTCTCCTCCCATTCTGCTGTCACATTTCCTGCAAATTGGTCACAGTGCCCCAGAATGGCAACAGGCAAAGGCTTACGTCATCGTGGCTCTTTGTTTTGTATTGCGTTGGTCTGATACGGAGGCGACCATGGTTTTTCTCTTACAGTTTGGTTCCTACCTACTGACTTCTACAAAAGTCACGCAGAGAAGTACTTAATGTTGTGATTCCTTTTCAAATAGCATTATTGGGTAAAGAAAGAATAGAACGGGTGGGAAAATGATCATCTTTCTATGAAGCAAGAACCTGATATCTCAGCATTTTCTTTTGGGTCTTAAATTAGTGACTTTCAGGCGCGCCTGGGTGGCTCAGTGGGTTAAGCCTCTGCCTTCAGCTCAGGTCATGATCTCAGGGTTCAGGGCCCCACGTCGGGCTCTCTGCTCAGCAGGAAGCCTGCTTCCTCCCCTCTCTCTCTGCCTGCCTCTCTGCCCACTTGTGATCTCTGTCAAATAAATAAATAAAATCTTAAAAAAAAAAAATTAGTGACTTTCAGTCTTTCCGTGAAACATCCTAAAGAAACACCGTACCCAGGGATGAGATGCAGGCATTCCCTTTGGCAGTGACCAGCAGAAACAGAGAGAGGACCAGAAGACTTAGATGCCTCCAATAAAACATTCCTACAACAGCTGCAACCAAGTGGGACTCCAGACAGTCTGAAGTATTCAATTCTGCAAAATGTAATTACCCTACTCCCGTTAATGGTACTAAAAAGTTGAATCTGGCGCCACCAATTAGTTGGATCTTATGTGCAAATCATGTCCTTCAATCCCTGTCATCTGTACCTATCCAAGCCCCACTCACATGCTAACTTCTCCATAAAACCGCCCTTCATCTCCATTTCCCCTTTCCCGTGCACACATACACGAACTTCAGGCACACTGTAAGATTCTCTGGGGCAGAACGCACATCCTCTTCATCTTTGCATCCCCAGCACCTAACACAAGGCCTAGCCCATAGAAGAAGGTTCTCAGTAAATATCTGTTGAAATGGTGAGTATCAGCTCAATTTCAGAGTATGATCCTTGATACAGTGGGTTAAAAGCATGACATCCATCCCATACCATGTAGCCTTAGCCCTGATCAGATCCAAGAGCCAGATTAGGAAGTTTCAAAGACCCAACCACTAGCAAAATAGAAACAACAAAGACTTTGAAAGGCAGGAATATGCTTAGCATGTTCAAAGGACAGCAAAAAGGCCAATGGGGCTCGTGTGATGGATAGATCAAGCCATCAATTGATCACTCATTCTGAAGTGTGAAAAAAATGTAAAAGAAGTCCAACAAAGTTCTCATTTTATGTCTAAGATGGAAATATAATACATTTATTGGTGTCTTAAGTGCATCCTAGTCTACCTGTAGAGAGAATCCAGAGCTAGGAGAGATGGCCCTGTGGTAGAAGGGTTTGACTCTTTCTGTACCTCTTTTGATTTTATGGAGCTGGACCTACACTTCTCATCGGCTCCTGTGGCATTTGATATTTCAACCTATACCATTATGGCCTAGTAATATAATAGAGCACAGGCTTTAGGATCAGAAAACCTGGATCCAAACTTGGGTCTACCACTTCCTGGCTGCGTAACCTTGAAAAAGTAACATGACTCTCAGTCTTTAGTTTTGTCTTCTATGAAAAGGAGGTAGTGATTTCTGCCTCAGAGGGCTGCTGTCAGGGTTAAATTAATGGAGGTATTTTTCAAACAGCCCAGTATCTGACACAATAATGGTTACTAGGAACCTGTCATAGCTCCACCTGCATTCAGGTTTTCTCTCTGCCCTAAAAAAAAAAAAAAAAAAAAGTCATTTCTTTCTTAAATCTCCTTCTTTGTTCTTTCTTTATCAAAAGACACTGCAGAGGGGAGCTTGGGTGGCTCAGTGGATTAAAGCCTCCGCCTTTGGCTCAGGTCATGATCCCGGGGTCCTGGGATCGAGCCACGCATCGGGCTCTCTGCTTGGCAGGGAGCCTGCTTCCCCCTCTCTCTCTCTCTGCCTGCCACTCTGCCTACTTGTGATCTCTGTCTGTCAAATAAATAAAATCTTTCAAAAAAAAAAAAAAAAGACTGCAGAGAGTGATGTCAGGAAGAATGGTGGAAGAAGGAACTCCAAAATCCCACCCTTCCCTAAAAACAATGAAAAAACTGGCAAAAACTGTCACAATTAACTTTTTTCAGAACTCTGGAAAATAACCAAAGGCTTGCAGCAATGTAAGAAGCACTCAGACAAAGGATGGCTTTGTATCAATAAGAAGAATGAACTTTGTGGTATAATAACTTACCCAACTCCCATTCCCAACTCCCCAGCTCACTGGTAACCATGAAAGTAACAGCCCACATTCCTGGTACTAGAGGAAACAGAACCAACCTCCTTCACAATGAATTATTTGACCTCTCTCATGGCTTCCTGGAAGACTGGTTCAAAAAGCTTGTCTTTATTTTGCTTTAGTAGGAACTCACCCAATGCTAAAGCCGCTACCTGGGGAGTATTCTTTGAAGGCCTTGACAGTCAAATCTTGTAGTCACTGCTGCCTAAGGCAATAGACATCTGTTGGAGCAAGCAATACACTAACCAAAAAGATTTAACATTAAAGCTGGGGAATAAAATGTCTATTAGGGCTTTGAAAAGCTCAGACACATTCCTGGGACTCTATGTGGCCATATACAGAGCTGTGCACACACTGAGGAAAGACCTCACTCTTAGCTGACCTTGCTGTTCTCCGCAAACAAAAGTAAGAGCTAAGGCAGAGTTGTAAACTGTCTAGCAGAGTGTTGAAAGTTTCCCTCAACAGGTACACAGAGCCCCTTGGCAAAAAAAAAAAAAAAAAATGGGAGATATTTTACTTCCAGGTGTTCAAATAAACCTATTCCACTCAGTCACCACCAAGGTAATAGAACAGAGACTTCAGCGGCCAAACAAGACAATATACAGACTCACTAAGCAAACACACAAGAAAAGCCACAACAGGCAACAGTGAAAACAAACCCTGGGAATGGGGAAGAATTTGATTTCCAGAGATGTCCTATTAAAATATCCAAAATGCCCAGTTTTCAAATAAATATATAAAATATAAAAAGATACTGAAGAGGGGCACCTGGGTGGCTCAGTAGGTTGAGGCCTCTGCCTTCGGCTCAGGTCATGGTCTCAGGGTCCCGGGATCGAGCCCCGCATTGGGCTCTCTGCTAAGCGGGGAACCTGCTTCCTCCTCTCTCTCTGCCTGCCTCTCTGCCTACTTGTAATCTCTGTCTATCAAATAAATAAAATCTTTATTTAAAAAAAGATACTGAAGAGTATATACAGGGGAAAAAGTAATCAATTGCAAAGGTCTGCAAGGAAACCCAATGGTTAGACTTTCTAGATGAAGACTTTATTCTAAACATGTTCAAATAGCAAATAAAAACAGGTCTACAAAAGTAAAAGTATGAAAACAGTGTCTCACCAAATAGAGATTACCAATAAAGAGTTAGAAATTATTTTAAAAAAAAAAAAGTCAAATAGAAATTCTGGAGTTGGCACCTGGGTGGCTCCATCGGTTGAGCATTTGCCTTCGGCTCAGGTCATAGTCCTGGAGTCCTGGGATCGAGTCCTGCATCAGGCTCCCCGCTCAGCGAGGAGCCTGCTTCTCCCTCTCCTCCCCATTTGTGCTCTCTGTCATTATCTCTGTCTCTGTCTCTCTCTCTCTCTCAAATAAATAAATCTTTTTTTTAAAAAAGAAAGAACGAAATTCTGGAGTTGAGGGGCACCTAGGTGGCTCAGTCATTAAGTGTCTGACTTTAGCTCAGGTCATGATGTCAGGGTCCTAGAATCCAGCCCTGCATCGGGCTCCCTGCTCATTAGGGATCGTGCTTCTCTCTCTCCCTCTCCTACTCCCCCTGTTTGTGTTACCTCTCTTGCTGTCTCTCTCTCTCTCTGTCAAATAAATAATCTTTAAAAAAGAAAAAAAAGGAAGAAATTCTGGAATTGAAAATTAAGTAATGGAAATGAAAATTCACTAGAGAAGCTCAACAATACATTCATGTAGGCAGAACAAGCAAAGGAAAGAGAGGTCAATTTAGATTTTTCCAGGCTGAAGAACAGAAAGAAAAAAGAATGAAGACAAATGAACAGAACCTCAGAAGCCTGTGTGACATCATCAAACCGCAACACATGGGTAGTAGGAATCCCAGAAAGAAAGGAGAGAAAGAGGCAGAAATATTTGAAGAAATCATGGCCAAAAGTTTTGCCAATACAATGGAAATCATTAATCTACACATCCAAGAAGCTCAACAAATTCAAACTGTGATAAACTAATGAGATCCACATCTAGACATATCATAATCAAACTGGAAAAAGCTAGAGACCAAGAGAGTATTGAAAGGATCAAGACAGAAGCAGCTCATCACATAAAAAGGATCCTCAGTAGTATCAACAAATGAAGTAGTATCAACAACTGATTTCTTACTGGAAACCATCAGAAAATATGGAGGCCAAAGGCAATGAAATGACATATTCAAAGTGCTGAAAGGAAAAAATAACTATAAACCAAGAACTCTATATCCATCAAAACTGTCCTCAAAAATGGGGTAATTGGGGCACCTGGGTGGCTCAGTGGGTTAAAGCCTCTGCCTTTGGCTCAGGTCATTGTAAGGGCCTGGTTGGCCAGAGGGAGTCATTTTGTGTTTATGTAGTGAACTTAGATTGACCCCGCCCCTCCCAGAGGAACTTACTTGCAAAGCCTAGATACAAGGGCTGGTCAGGCCAAGTGAAGACATCCAATCAGTGGGGCACGCATATATCTACTAGGGTAAATTGAAATTCAATTGGCCACCTGTGTGTTACCTAGCAGTTTTTTTCTGTGTGTGGCAGACTTAGCATGACGGTGCAGTGTTCTCTGTGTATTGCAATCTCATTGGCCACCTGTGTATAGCCCGGCTAAACTACCTCTATAAAAGTTAGTCTGTGAGGCTGGGAGGGGTCTCCTCTTTGCAAGAGGCAGCCCTGACCAGTCACTTTGATTCTCGATGCTTGGCGCGAAATAAAGCTTTGCTTGACCTTCGCTTTGTATCAGTCTCGCTCCTTTGATTACGGACCCTAACAGTCATGATCTCAGTGTCCTGGGATCGAGCCCCACATCGGGCTCTCTGCTCAGCAGGGAGCCTGCTTCCCCCTTTCTCTCTGCCAGCCTTTTTGCCTACTTGTGATCTCTGTCTGTCAAATAAATAAATAAATAAATAAAATAAAATAAAAATTTTTTTAAATGGGGGAATTAAGGGGTGCCTGGGTGGCTCAGTGGGTTAAGCCTCTGCCTTTGGCTCGGGTCGTGATCTCAGGGTCCCAGGATCAAGCTCCACGTTGGGCTTGCCTCCCCCCTTTCTCTCTGCCTGCCTCTCTGCCTACTTGTGATCTCTCTCTCTCTCTCTCTCTGTCAAATAAATAAATAAATAATCTTTTTTAAAAATGGAGAAATTTAGATATTCCCAAATAAACAAAAACTGGGAGTTCACACTAGCAAGAAATGCTATACAGTCTCCCTCATATCAGGGTGGAGTGAAAGGACACTACTAGTAACTGAAATCCGCATGAATAAAGTAGAGGTAACTACCTAGATAAATATAAAAGACAATATAAATGTGGTTTTTCTTTATAGGTCTTTTTTTTCTATCTCATTGAAAAGGCCACTACATGAGGCAATAATTATAAGTCTATGATGATGGATACACAGGATATAATCACCTATGTCATATTCAAAAGATGGGTACCAGTCCCATCATTAGAACTCTCCAGAAAGGCAACCTGCAAGTCGGTCCTCATTACCAATCAATTAGAAGCACTTCCATGTGCACACCACTACTACAGATGAGTAGAGGAGGGCCCTGACAAACAAGAACATTGACTATGTCCTCTACATAGCTATGGACTTGCTGTAACTGTGAAGGGACCAAGGACCAATGTGAATGAGATGTTGGGGCCGTCATTCAATGTCAATGAGAATGGTCTGAGAAGGTCCCATTGCTGAGGTGGAGTGGGAGGCTCACGGGTTGACAGAATGGCAACCAAACTGCTAGGTTTCCTGGGAACAGATTATTTTCCAATACCTAAACTAAATCCTACAGAATCATGCTTGGAGGCTATAATTTTCAGGTGTATCATAAAGTTTGACTCCTGAATTTGATAATCCAGATGATATGCTAAGAAGCTCGCTGATAATCACAGAAAGGTTGGATAATGCACCAAAGAGAAGCCTTGCCCAGCGCCCACTCATCAATGGTGCAATCATACACACAATGAGTAAATATACACAAAAATGACCCAAATCTCCTTCCTCCCACAAAGTCAGTGTGTGCTCAAGAGGTTCCTATGAAGATATGTGGAAATTAGGGCCGTATTTTACTGAATAACTATCCCAAATAGATCCCCTAGAAGATCCATTTACTCCTCTAATCAATTAGGATAGCATTTTGTTTCCTAGAGTTTTTTATAGTGCACTTAGGGGAAGAAGCATTATTCATGTAGTATAAGAGGGACCCAGAGCAAACTATAAAACCCATGCCCATGAAAGAACCATGAACTGACCACAATATCCCTTCCAAGTAAGCTCAGATGTGACCTCAGACTACTTCTCAATTGGCTCCAAGCACCACCACCACAAAATTGGGACTAGAATTATAAAATGAGATCCATTTGCTGTCCTGGAATGGAATGTAGCCAGCAGCCTTATAAGAAAGCTCCTTCTTTAAGCCTTTAAGTTACTTTTAAGCCTTGGTCACCCTTGGGTGACTTTAAGCTTTTGTGAACACAAGCTTCCTGTAGTAAAGACCGACAAACTCCAAGTATTTTAAGTTTCCTGGAACTGGCATTCTTTGGGACAGTTCTGTCAATATTCCTAAGTTTAGTAGACAACGGATACAAACGTATCAGGTGTGTCATAAGCATAACATTTCAATAACTTGTCAAGATCCACATTGAGTACTGTTATTTCTTAGGAGAAATAAGTGATGGTGGGAGAGGGAATGGCCAAATGAGGGGGTGGGATGGGGTGGGGATGGGGAACATGTAGAGGGGACAAAAGGTCAGCAGAGCCTGGAAAGGACTGATCTGCCAAAAACCAAAGTCTAGCTACGAGGGAAAAGGACAGAGTACTACATTCATCAATGAGGGCTTTCCTACACCTACTTTGGATGCTTGTAGGCCATGAGGCACCGCTCGTACTTTCCCACCATGCTCCAGGCCATGACCAGGCCATCAGTACTTCCCGAGAGGAGGTGCCACTGGTCACAGCAGAGACACTTCACGGCTCCCTCGTGGCCACTGAGAGTCTGCAAGAAAAGAGGCCTCTTTTCAGCCCTCTTCAACTCAGATGGTAAGTCCTCCAAGGGCCCAAGCTGGAGGTGTCTTTCAAGGAACTGCAAAGCCACACTCCACCAATCCATGACTGCCACCTGAGCCGATTTCACTTTTGTTCTAAGAAGGCCAGTGGTGTCCATGCCCCTCCCCCCAGAGCTCTCTCTCCCCACTGAAAGAAGAATGTGGTCAGGAAGAGGCCTTGCTCCTGGTGGGTCTGTGGCTGGGGCAGGCCTCATCTTCCTGGAGTACCAGAGGCCAAAATCCACCATCCTCTGCTGCCACATGGCATACGGTCAGGCGTTCCATCCCTAGCTCCTTGCCAAGACCAGAGGACACCTGGGACACCCCTGCACCTGTAACTGCTGATTAGACCATGGGGACAAGACTGATGGGAAACAGTCCATCAGCCAGGCCAGCAGCTTCTCATTTTGCCCCTGTGGTCCTGGCACCAACGGATCTCACCACCACCCACTAGGGCCACGAGGGTTCAAATCCAGAGATATTTTTTAACATGTGAACATTCAATCATTTTCAAGACAGCAGATGTTCTCTTTTTACCACAGAGTTAAGGAGGAGAACCACTGTGACTTTGTCCATTCCCTTACCCATGCAAGAGTCAGGGTAAAATGTTCTGGAGAAGGAAAAGTCACTTTACTTCTGCTGCCGTGAAAAGACCCTGAGTCCGTATACCATGCTGAGTCAGAACGTAGCCTTCTACCACCACCTCAAAGACATGGCCCTCCACTGAGTCAGAATGCCCCTTTTTTGGGGGAGCTCTTCAGGACCCTCCTTTTGGTGACCATAAGTTGGTAGCTTTAGGGTGGTATGGGGAGTCCTCTGGGGGAGACCCTAAGTTTCCTCCAATCCATCATCACCAGTACCCCATTGCCCCAACAGCCCACCACCCTCTCACCTTTACCAACTGGGCCGAGACAACGTGCCACACTTTGACTAACCCTCTCTCACAACTGCTCACAATGTAGGTGTCATTGATCTTGGTGGCCAAGATGGGGTCTTTGTGTTTAAATGTCTTCAGACACTTCCCTGTCTCTATATCCCACTCTGAAAGGGAGGCAGGAAAAGAAGGGGCATGAAAGCAGGTTACAGTGGAGTTCTGGACCCCATCACCGAAGCCAAGCCCATCAAGTCAGACCCTAGAAGGCTGTCACCTGGCCCACCACCCCTGTAGGCTCACCAACAGCTCCGTGAGTCTGCAACACAGAGCTCCCTGACCATGGGCTCCTGGGGAAGCCACCATCCATAGACCTTGGCTCCAACCCTAGAACTTAGTGTTGGGGTCCAAGTGCCAGACAGCTCCTCTCTAATAAGGCTCCTTCTTGAACCTACAAAATACTTGCTATTGAGTGGATTTCAGGAAAATCATGGCATATGTTCCATGGCACCATGCTTTCCAGATGCTGTTCTCCTGACTCACCCCTTCTAGCTCCAAAAGCAAAGAAAGCTGTCTATCCTTATTTACATTTTAAAGTATCTTTGAATCTGACTTTTGGATTTTACTAACTGACAGACTGCCAGAGCTGGAAGCAGCCTTAATGGTGCTTCTACATAGACAGTGATAGGGCAACTGCCTAGCACACTGTAAGGGTTGGGAAGATATGAACGTAGCTGGGTAGGCGGGAGAACAGAGCTTAAAGGAAAGAACTGAAAGGAGGCACTACAGATTCAGGGATGAGACCACTGAAATCGGCCTCGTCGGCCCCAAAGTACCTGTCAGGCAACAGAATGTATAACCTAGGACAAAATAATAACCACGACTGATCCTGACACGTAGCACACACAATGAGCCAGGCACCATTGGGAGTGTTTGACATGCATTAACTCATCTTCCCAAGACAGTTGCTATGATGATTCCCCACAGCGCAGATGAGGAAACAGGGATAGAGAAGTTGAGTAGCCCGCCAAGATCGTGCAGATGGTAAGCAGAATGAGCTGGGATTCGAACCCCGGGAGTCTGGATCCAGAAGCCATGCTCTTAACTGCATATACTAGATTCATCCTAACTAAATAAGTATGCTTTTCTTCACGTGTTTTTTATATACACATTGGCCCTTTCATCTGATTAGAAAGGAGAATGCTGACGGGCATCTGGCTGGCTCACCAGATGGAGTGTCTGACTTCTCGGGTCATGGTCTCAGAGTCTTGGGATCGAGCCCCATGTTGGGGGGGGCTTGTCCCGCTCTCTCTACACTTTCCCTGCTTGTGTTTCTATCTCTGTCTCAAGTAAATGAATAAAATCTTAAAAAAAAAAAAAAATTTTTTTTTAACAAGTTGGGGGTTACATTTCAGGTCTCTAACATCTCTTTTTCTTTCTATGGGTAACCGAGGGAGCTGGGAGGAGCCCAGGGGAGGCAAGCAGGCTGGGGGATGGGGCTAGGATTAGGGTAAGATCTTTTGAAATTTTTTTTTGTCATGTATTTTGTGAATTAATTTTGACATTTTCAATATCGTTTTAAAATGTGTATCTCGAGGGAGCCTGGGTGGCTCGGTTGGTTGAGCAGCGGCCTTTGGCTCAGGTTATGCCCTGGGACTGAGCCCCACACTGGGTTCCCTGCTTAGCAGGGAGCCTGCTTCTCCATCTGCCCCTCCCCCCACTCATGCGCTCTCTCTCACTCATTCTCTCTCAAATAAATAAATAAAAATCTTAAAAAAAAAAAAATGTGTATCTTGAGAAGCGCCTGGGTAGCTCAGGTGGTTAAGCATCTGCCTTTGGCTCAGGTTATGCCCTGGGACTGAGCCCCACACTGGGTTCCCTGCTCAGCAGGGAGCCTGCTTCTCCATCTGCCCCTCCCCCCACTCATGCGCTCTCTCTCACTCTTCTCTCTCTCTCAAATAAACAAATAAAAAAAATTTTTTAAATGTGTATCCTAAACAAGATGGGATTGGGAGGGATACAAACCATAAGAGACTCTTAATCTCACAAAACAAACTGAGGGTTGCCAGGGGGAGGGGGTAGGGAGAGGGTGTTGGGGTTATGGACATTGGGGAAGTTATATGCTAGGGTGAGTGCTGTGAAGTGTGTAAACCTGGTGATTCACAGACCTGGGGTGATTCACAGACAGTACTCCTGGGGCTAATAACACATTATATGTTAATTAAAAATTTAAAAAATAAAATGAAATAAAAATAAAAATGTGTATCTTGACTACTAGGAGTTTGGGGGGCCCTTCCCCTAGCTCCAGCTCTACCAGTAGCCATGCAAGACTCTCTCAAGTCTGGAGGCCTTGTCTGGCCTTCCAACTCCAAACCTTCTTCCTTTCCTCCTTTCTGCTCCCTCCTCAAAGCAGTCATGGCAAAGAGATTTTCAGGTCAAGGAGGGCAAAGAGGTAGGGAGTAAGGTTTCTTAAGCAGGTCTGAGGGTTTGCCTATGGAACAACACTCCATTCTTGCTTTCCAGCACCTTCTTCCTCCACCTACCCCTAGCATGATACGTTTTCCTGGGTCTCTTGCTTCTCTTTTCTTTTGACTCTTTCCTCGTGCTTTGCAGGGGACATGTCATCCACGCCTGGAGCTTCCACCTTTCCTTATAACTGATAACCACCAAATCGCTGTGTCTGGAGCCCCAGACCTGTTATATGGTAAACTCCTATGTAAACTCACACTTCCACCTGCCTCCAGCAATCTTCCCCTCGCTGTCCTCAGGAGTCCCATACCCGATACCTTAGCTTTCTATTGTCACTGTAACAAATAGTCACAATTGTTTAATAGCTAAAAACAAGACAAATATATCATCCTACAGCAGTCTGGCGTGACCTCCCCACAAGGCTGAAATCAAGGTGACAAGAGAGCTGTGTTCCTTTAGGGAGATTCTGGGGCTGAAGGGACCCATTTCCTTGCCTGTTCCACCTTCTAAGGGCCACCCATGTTCCTCAGCTCATGATCCCCTCCTCTACCTTCAAAGCCAGCAACGTTGCATGTTTCTGACCATTCTTCCAAAGTCACATCTCCTTTTGATCAGATATGAGAAAATTTCTGTTTTTAATCATCTGTATGATGACCCACAGGCCCACACTGATAACCCAGGATAACCTCTCCACTTTAAGGTCCTCAACTTAATCACATCTGCGAAGTCCCTTTTGCCATATGAGATAGCATGGTCACAGGCTGCAGGGATTAGGACGGGACATGTTCAGTTGGCCATTATTCTGCCTACCACACTCAGCATGTCCAAAAACTCACTGGCCTGAGTTTATAAGTCTGGCCTCATTGTCTACCCTTCTATCTTCCTCTTCCATATCCAGCTGGTGGCAAAGTCCTCCCAACTGTCCCTATAGGAATCGCCCTTCAGTCTGTGCCTCCTCATGGAAACTCATATCCCCCTGGCTTTCTTCACGTTTATCTGTTCTGAGTTGTCTGAAGATGCCACAGTAGCTCTCCAGACTGAGTCATGTCTCCGCCTGTCACTTGTCTGCATAGTCCCCCAACTCCAAATCTTCCTTCCACACTATCACTAGTTATCTTTGTCAGACACACAGTTGACCATGTCAGCCTGCAGGTCAAAGTGCATTGATAGCCTCCTGCATTCTATAGGGTAAAGTCCAATTTCCTACCATGATGCAGAAGGCCCTTGATCATCGGGCCCCAAACAAACTAACCAGCTTTATGTCCAACACCACGTACTGCAGTCCAGCCATACCGAGCAAGGGGAAATTCCCTAAAGACACCATTTTCTTCAGCCTTCTGTGAATTTGCCTGTGCTGTGCCTTCTGCTTAGAACATCCTACATTCTCCCTCTGCTTGTAGAACTTCTCATCCTCAAGCACACACTCAACCCTGGGACGCCTGGGCGGCTCAGTCCGTTAAGCATCTGCCTTTGGCTCAGGTCATGATCCCACGGTCCTGGGCTCGAGCCCTGCATCAGGCTCCTTGCTCAGTGGGGAGCCTGCTTCTCCCACTGCCTGCTGTTCCCCCTACTTGTGCAAACTCACTCTCTATCTCTGGCAAATAAATAAATAAAATCTTTAAAAATAAATAAATAAAAAGAGGGGCACCTGGGTGGCTCAGTGGGTTAAAGCCTCTGCCTTCGGCTCAGGTCATGATCCCAGGGTGCTGGGATCGAGCCCCACGTCGGGCTCTCTGCTCAGCGGGGATCCTGCTTCCCCCTCTCTCTCTGCCTGTCTCTCTATCTACTTGTGATCTCTCTCTCTGTCAAATAAATAAAATCTTTAAAAATAAATAAATTAATTAATAAATAAATAAAAAGAAAGAAAGAGAGAAAGAAAGAAACACACTCAAACAGCACCCTGTCTGTGATGCTTTCCCTGTTACTCTTACTTCTACAGTCCCTTAGAATTCCACATGTGGGATGCCTGGGTGGCTCAGTCAGTTAAGTGTCTGACTTTGGCTTAGGTCATGATATCAAGGTCCAGGGACTGAGCCCACGTTGGCATCCGCACTCAGAAGGGAGTCTACTTGTCCTTCTCCCTCTCTCTGTCCCTCCCCCTCCTTGTGCTTCCTCTCTCTAATAAATTAAAATCTTAAAAAAAAAAAATCCACATGTTGGTTAGGAGCCTGTGACTTAGAGTCAGTCAGCCCTGGATTTAAATCCCCACTCTATCACTCAGCAGCTCTGATTTGGGGCAAGTTGTTTTTCTCTCCAAGTTTTGGATTCCTCATCTGCCTCTACCACAGAGGCTTCCTGTGAGGGTTAAATTAATAAATAATACGTGTAAAGTACCCGTGTCAGTCACAAAGTTAGTAATCAGTAAGTGGCAGCCATTATTATTCATATATTTATTATATCCTCAATTATATATTTATTATCTATCTCCATTAAAAGATTGAGCCTCTTGAGGAGATAAAAAGCCATATTAAAAGGGCCATATCATATTTTTTTTTCCTTAGAACCTAACACAGTGTCTAGCATACTGTAGGTATTCCACAGACAGTTGTTACATGAATGGATCCACTGATATAAGGATGGTTGGATGGTTGGATGGTTGGATGGATGGATGGATGGATGGAAGGATGGATAGATGGGTGGATGGAAGGATGGATGGATAGGTGGGTGGATGGATGGATGGATGGATGGATGGATGGAAGGATGGATGGATTGATGGGGATGGATGGAAGGATGGATGGATGGATGGATGGAAGGATGGATGGATTGATGGATGGATGGATGGATGCATGGAAGGAGGGATGGATGGATGGATGGATGGATGGATGGATGGATGGATGCATGGAAGGAAGAATGTCTACCGGGCACCTGGGTGGCTCAGGTGGTTGGGCAACTGCTTTTGGCTCAGGTCATGATCCCTGGGGTCCTGGGATCGAGTCCCATATCAGGTTCCCCCTGCTCTTTGGGGAGCCTGCTTCTCCCTTTCCCTCTGCTTGCTACTCTCCCTGCTTGTGCTCCCTCTCTCTCTCTGTCAAATAAATAAGTAAAATCTTTAAAAAAAAAAAAAAAAGAACATCTTCCTACAGAAATGAGGAAAACAGCATTTTGACAATTCATGGGTTTGGGGGAGCTTCTAAGAAAGGTCAAGGCATCTCTTTCTCACCTTTCACCTGGCAATCTCTTGCTCCAGATACGAGCCTGTTCTTATATAAATCCATGCAAGTGACTGTCCCCTGATGGCCATTGAAGATTCGTATACAAGCCCCACTTTTCAGATCCCAAGATCTGCAGGAATCAAAAAAATGTTTTTGAGATTTTTTCTGAGGGCCCAAAGGGATCATACTATATACGACCTCCCTTAGACCAACAGTCTGTTGGAAGGCAGCAAAGTTTCATGGTCAAGCTCAGAGTCAGAGGCCTGGATTTGAATCCCAGCTGCAGCAGCCATTAGGCGTAACTTTGGAAAAGTTACTTAACTTCTCTGTAGGCTTCATTTCCTCACTGGTAGATTAGAAATGATAGCAATGATAGTTACACCTCATAGCGGTTTTTGCAAAGAATACACAAATGCAATGATTGTCAACCAGGAGTGATTACCACCACTAGGGGACATTTGACAATGCCCGGAGACATTCTTGGTTGTCTCCACTGGGGAGAGAGATGCTATGGGTATCTAGTGTGTAGAGTCCCAGGATACTGCTGAGCAACCCCCCAATGCACAGGACAGCCTTCATATGAAGTACTTTACAGCCCCAAACTGAGAATCCCTGCATTAATTCATAACATTGGAACAATGATCAACGTGTCGAAAATGCTTAATACATGTAGGTTGGTATTAGGTGGAAGTTTCTAGAATTACCACCAGGCTTAAAATCCATGGCACTGATTCAACAGAAGAGCTGATCTTCAAACAAGAACAACAGAACTATTGGGGATGCCTGGGTGGCTCAAAGGGTTAAGCCTCTGCCTTCAGCTCAGGTCATGATCCCAGGGTCCTGGGATCAAGCCCCGCATCGGGCTCTCTGCTCAGCAGGGAGCCTGCTCCCCACTCTGTCTCTGACTACCTCTCTGACTGCTTGTGATCTCTCTCTCTGTCAAATAAATAAATAAGATCTTAAAAAAATAAAAAAGAACAATAGAACCATTTACTTCAGTCACTTAGATCCAAAATATTTTATGTGTATTTCTGAGACATATCTAAGAAATACATGAGAGCATGTATGAGTCACATCATTTTTTAATAAGCAAACTTGCCTGAGGTCTCTCAGCTGTCTCTGATACAGACTTCCACGTTAGCCAGTTTGCTTTTGCAGGGCAAAGAGTGATACTAAGATAGTGGGTTCTGGAGCCAGGGGGCCCCAGGTACTATCCCAGGTCCATCACTTACAAGCTGTAGGATCTTGGATTAGCTAATGAACCACTCTGTATCCCAGTTTCCTCATGCGTAAATTGAGGTTAAGAATGGTAGTTACCTCATAGAATTCTTATGAGACTTGGCACACAATAAACGATTAATAAATGTTTCTTTTGTTTTTCTTTGAATGTGCTACCCTTTCCCTTCTAACATTCCCAAAGGTCCTGTGGCCTTAGCAGTTTGTCAGAGTCGGCTATGCGCCCACAGCGCAATTAAAGATATCCCAGTGGCCTGAAGAAAAGCAGGTTTTGAATTTCTGTTCTAGCAACACGGCCAACCATGTGTTCAGGTTGTTTTTCTTAAGTTAGGCAGAAAAGATATTTGACAAACATTTTTAGGAAAATAGGAATAGGAAGTCCTGGCTGGCTCAATCAGAAGACCGTGTGACTCTTGATCTCAGGGTCATGAGTTCAAAGCCCACGTTGGGTGTAGAGATTACTTAAATAATAAATAAACTTTAAAAAAAAATAAAAAGAGGGACACCTGAGTAGCTCAGTCGGTTAAGCATCTGCCTTTGGCTCGGGTCATGATCGCAGGGTCCTGGGATAGAGCCCTGCAACAGGCTCCCTGCTCAGCGGGAAGTCTGCTTCTCCCTCTGCTGCTCCCCCTGCTTGTACTCTGTCTCTCTCTATATATCTCAAATAAATAAAATCTTTAAAATAAAAAAATAAAAAATAAAATAAAATTTAAAAAGTAGGAATAGAAGGAACTTACTGATTTCACAAACTTATTAAAAAAAAGTTATAACAGCAAGAGTTATACTTACTAAAAAAAAACTATAGATGTACTCCCTTCAAAAAGGATAACAAGATGTCTGCTCTTACTGCTTCTACTTAACTGGAAGGCCAAGGTAAAGTTAGAAAGAAAGAAAAAGAAAAATGTAGTATAAAAGTATGGGAAAAGAAGATAATTATTATCATTATTCCTGGCTGGAAGATCATCTACATAGCACATATATTTTTATTTTTATTTTTATTTATTTATTTGACAGAGAGAGAAAAATCACAAGTAGGCAGAGAGGCAGGAGAGAGGGCGGGATGCAGGCTCCCTGCCGAGCAGAGAACCCGATTCGGGGCTCGATCCCAGGACCCTGAGATCATGATATGAGCCGAAGGCAGAGGCTTAACCCACTGAGCTACCCAGGCGCCCCAGCACATATACTTTTAAAACCAATGAGAGGTTAACAAGGTTGCTAGATACAAGAACAATCTATAGTAATCAACCCCATTTCTCTATACCAGCAATAATCAATATGAAAATTAATCAAAAATAAGATACTGGGCACCTGGGTGACTCAGTCAGTTAAGCAGCTGCCTTTGGCTCAGGTCATGATCCCAGGGACCTGGGATCGAGTCCCAGATTGGACCTCCCTGCTCAGCAGGCATCTGCCTTCTCCCTCTGCCTTCTCCCTCTGCCTCCCCTCCCCCACCCCGCTCTCTCTCTTTCTCTCTCTCTCTCTCAAATAAATAAAGTCTTTAAAACTAAAAGAATTTTAAATTAAAAAAAAAAATTTTTTTTTGAGGGGCGCCTTGGTGGCTCAGTGGGTTAAAGCCTCTGCTTTCGACTCAGGTCATGATCCCAGGGTCCTGGGATTGAGCCACGCATCCTGCTCTCTGCTCAGCAGGGAGCCTGCTTCCTCCTCTCTCTCTGCCTGTTTCTCTGCCTACTTGTGATCTCTGTCTGTCAAATGAATAAATAAAATCTTAAAAAAAAAATTTTTTTTGAGAAAAGATACTTTGGGAGAATGTCTTTTTGACTTCCCCAAAGGGAGACGTTTCTTAAACATGTCAAGTCCATGGGGCGCCTGGGTGGCTCAGTGGGTTAAGCCTCTGCCTTCGGCTCAGGTCATGATCTCAGGGTCCTGGGATCGAGCCCCACATTGGGCTCTCTGCTCGGCAGGGAGCCTGCTTCCTCCTCTCTCTCTCTCTGCCTACCTCTCTGCCTACTTGTGATCTCTGTCTGTCAAATAAATAAAATCTTTAAAAAAAAAAAAAAAAAAATGTCAAGTCCACAAAATCAACTACCTTAAAGTTAAGGATTTCTGTTCATCAAAAGTCACCACGGTGACAAGAGGAGTCTTAAATTGGAAGGAGAAATTTGCAACACAAAAATCAACAAAGAATTAGTATCCAAAATATATAAAGAACTCCAACGAATCAATAAGAATAAATAAATTAACAGAAGAATAGGCCAAACGACAACAAAAACTGAACAGGAATTTCATAGAAGAAAAAGCACAAATGGCTCTAAAACATATTGTGATGGTTAATTTTATGGGTCAGTTTGAAGGCTGTTTTAGGTCAAGATCAAGGTTTAAACCAATGGATGTCAAGTAAAGCACATGGCCCTTCATCATGTAGATAGGCCTCATCCAATCAACTGAAGGCTTAAACAGAACAAAAAGACCAACCTCCCCCCCATGCACTCCCAACAAGAGGTAATGCTCCAGCAAACCAGCTTCAGACTTATCTCCACCCCAACTCTCCTAGGTCTCCAGGCTGCGGGCCCACACTGTGAGCCAATTCATTATAAAGAGATAATCAATCTCTTTATATGCACACACACATCTCCTATTTCTCTGGAAAGCTTAATACACACATATGAAAATATGCCCAACCTCATTAGTAATCAAAGAAGTGAAAAGAGGGGCGCCTGGGTGGCTCAGTGGGTTAAAGCCTCTGCCTTCGGTTCAGGTCATGATCCCAGGGTCCTGGGATCAAGCCCCACATCGGGCTCTCTGCTCAGCAGGGAGTCTGCTTCCCCTTCTCTCTCTGCCTGCTTCTCTGCCTACTTGTGATTTCTGTCTGTCAAATAAATAAATAAAATCTTTAAAAAAAAAAAAAAAGAAGTGAAAAGAGGTGGCAGCAGATTGGCAGTTAATGTTGTCAGTATTGAGCATCAAATAGTAAATATTGGTAGGGGTCTACCCCTGATGATGAGAGCAGAACCTAATATAACTGTTTAAGAAAACAATTTAGTACTCCTACCTAGAAATTTCACGACAAAGAATAATCCTTAAGAGAAACTCATGCACTGTGGTTAACAAGACTGCATCATACCTTTGAAAGGTGCTGAGAGTAGATCTTGAAAGGTCTTATCACAAGAAAAAAAAATTTTGTAACTATGAGTCGTGATGGATATAAGTAAACTTACTGTGGTAATCATTTTCCAATATATACAAATATCAAATCATTATGTCATATACCTAAAACTAATATGTTGTATGTCAATTATATCTATCTCAGTTATAAAAAAAAAAAATTTTTTTACTAATTTTTTAAGTAATCTCTACACCCAACATGGGGCTCAAACTCACAACTCCAAGATCAAGAATCTCATGTTCTAACACTGAGTTACCAGGTGCCTCTGAAAAAATTTTTTTAAAAACTCTTGCACAGGGCGCCTGGGTGGCTCAGTTGGTTGAGCGACTGCCTTCAGCTCAGGTCATGATCCTGGAGTCCCGGGATCGAGTCCCACATCAGGCTCCCGGCTCCACGGGGAGTCTGCTTCTCCCTCTGACCTTCTCCTCGCTCATGCTCTCTCTCACTGTCTCTCTCTCTCTCAAATAAATAAATAAAATGTTAAAAAAAAAAAAAAAAAACTCTTGCACATAGGACCACCTGGGGGGCTCAGTCATTATGCCTTCAGCTCAGGTCATGATCCCAGGGTCCTGGGATCAAGTCCCGTGTCAGGCTCCCCAATCAGCGGGAAGACAGCTTCTCCCTCTCCCACTCCCCCTGCTTGTGTTCCCTCTCTCGCTGTGTCTCTCTCTGTCAAATAAATAAATAAAATTTAAAAAAACAAACAAACTCATGCACATAGATGTCAGGGGACACATCCAAGAACACCTGTAGCAGCAGATGTTTATTCTTTGAAAGAATAAAAAAATGGAAACAATGCAAATATCCATTGACAGAAGATGAAATGATTTATAATATATTCATCCAATAAAAGACAGTGTCTCAATGAAAATAAATTACTGCTACCTACATCTTATGGATAAATCTCAAAATCATGGTTCAGTACAAGAATCCAGTATAAGTGAATTTTTTAATGCAATTCCATTTATATAAGTTTAAAAATAGGCAAAAGTAATCAATATTTTTGGAGATCTATAAATAGCAAAATTATAAAGAAATACAAGGGAATAATTAGCATAAAATTTAGGGTAACATTACCTCTGGTTGGGAGGGAGAAAGTAAGGAAAGACACACAGTGAGATTTGGGGAATGGTAATGATCTATTTCTTGGCCTGAGTATGGCACATGGATGTTTACTATATTGTTTAAAAATATATGTATATATACATTTTTAAACACCATTTTGCTTCTATATCATATGTGATATCCACAGAAAAACACCTTTTCCTAAGGCATCTATAAAAGAACTATAAATTGTGCCATCATCTAAGAGCACTAAAAAAGATACTTTCCAAGGAGTGCCTGGGTGGCTCAGTCTGTTAAGTGTCTGCCTTTGGCTCAGGTCATGATCTCAAGGTCCTAGGATCAAGTACCACATCAGACTCCTTGCTCGGTGGGGAGTCTGCTTCTCTCTCTCTCTCTCTCTCTCTGCTCCTGCCCCTGCTCATTCTCTCTCTCGCTCTCTCTCAAATAAGTAAATAAAATCTTCAAAAATTAAAAATAATATACCTTCTAATTCAAAGCCCTCAACCAGAAAATAGATCTGATAATTGCTATAAATCAATCTCATTCAAAGTTTAAACAATATATAAATTATTGGTTTCTACCTTGCCAAATAAAGAAAAAAATGTTACGGGTTATCCCTATCATTTAGGAGAGCGTTACTTAAATAAATAAATACTAAGGGGAAAAAGCATGCAGGCTTCTTCCACAAGCTGACTTTAGGCCTTGGGTGGGATGGACCACAACTCCTTTGGACCACTCACCTGATACTCAGGTCATAACTCCCGCTCAGTAGAAAGTTCTCCTCCTCACACAAGAAGAGGGCGCGGACACTCCCAGCATGGCCTCGGAACTCAGTGGGTAATTCCTTTACTTGTATGACATCTAGAAGCTGGATCTTCCGGTTGGATGACACTGCGACCAGATCTCCCCCAGAATAGTGAATGACTCTGTTTCGGTCCCACCTGAGTTGCCGGGGGCAGAAAAAGATGATCCATGAAAGAAAAGTTAGTGTCCTTCCAGAACTCCCTTAGTATGATGCCTGTCACCTACAGGGGTGGTATAATGGAAAGCAGAAGGCACACTCCTGGTGGACCCCTACCTCATACCATACCAAGTCACTTTAGGTCAAAACCTAAAGACAACAGAAAAACTATTAAAAAAGAATCTACTAATATGATAAATCATCAAGAGAGGATATTCTGTTGAATATGCATCATTTCTCAAACTTGTCTGACCACAGAAATCTTTTTTTATGGAAAACATTAGAGGAACACAGCTTGGAAGCCTTATGCCAACTGCATCCCGCTGTTTCTTTCTTTTTTTTTCTCTCTTAACCAATATCCAATGAGTTTATGTCAGGTTCAAAGTACTGTGCTAAGAGCTACTGTGGGAAATACAGAGATGAATTAAGATATGGATCTTGTTGGGACGCCTGGGTGGCTCAGTGGGTTGAGCCGCTGCCTTCGGCGCAGGTCATGATCCCAGCGTCCTGGGATCGAGTCCCACATCGGGCTCCTTGCTCAGCAGGGAGCCTGCTTCTCCCTCTGCCTCTGCCTGCCACTCTATCTGCTTGTGCTCGCTCTCGCGCTCTCTCTCTCTGACAAATAAATAAATAAAATCTTTAAAAAAAAAAAAAGATATGGATCTTGTTTTCAATGAGCCTGCAGTCTAGTAAAACAGGATAAGTTAATTTTCCAGTCATAAAGTATTAGCAAATAGATAAAATATGAGCAAGATGACCAAATCATTTATTGTCCAAAAGGAGTCTTTTTCATTGTGAAAGGGGACACGATTATTAGTAACTCCAGGACCACAGAGTAAAGTGGGATTTTTTTCAGCAAACATGGATGGAGTCACATCTGAATATGAGAAGTAATTCTTGATATCTTCGTCCTCATTCCCCTTGTTACATCTAGAGTTCAATGAGCCATCATCTCTTCCAAAGGGCACTTATCACCATGCCATCCATAAAAACTCAGCTTTGCCTTTCTGCTGTCTGCTGTGTCTTCCCCTTACTGACTGCTGAAGATGTAATTTGTAAGTAACATTCACAGTCAAAAATAAAATAGAGGCAGCCTCCACAAAACCTTATGAATAAAAAGTGAAATCCTAGGCCTAAACTATGGCAGAAAGTTCATTACTGGGGCACCTGGGTGTCTCAGTCGATTAAGCAGCCGCCTTCGGCTCAGGTCATGATCCCAGGGTCCTAGAATCGGGACCCACATCGGGTTCCCTCCTCAACGGGAAGCCTGCTTCTCCCTCTCCCACTCCCCGTGCTTGTGTTCCCTCTCTGGCTGTGTCTCTCTCTGTCAAATAAATAAAATCATTAAAAAAATTTATAGATATACATGCAAAGAAAATTCTAGAATATACATAAGTATACATGAATATTAATAAAATGAATATTAATTTGTGTACTAATATACATGAAGATTATAGGAGGTCTTTGCCTTTCTCTATACATTTTCTAGTATTTAGTGGATTTCTTCTTTGCACTAAGCATATTATCACTTCTAAAATTGAAATAAAACCATACAAATATTTCCAAAAAAGCAATGTTTTCTTGCACGTGACTTGTGTGAAAGTTGGTCAGTATACCTGAAATTACAACAGGAAAGTGTCCTCTGGCCATGGGGAGAATGGTGCAAACATCCAGCCCTATTCTCCGAAGGGGATCTCATGTTCTTGGGGGACTGGAACTTGAGGGGAGGAAGGATTGCCTTTCCAAGTGAACAGGGTCATAAATCCTAAAGACGCCAGTGTGGGTAATTCAAGGGTCCCCGAAGACCTGGGTTCTGGCCCTGGTACCTACGTGTCTGAGAGGATGCGGATATTATAAGTCCCACAGAAGACATTTCTCTCCTCCATTTGGACCTGCTGAGTTTCCTGGTTCTGGTATGCGGCCCACAGGTTGTAGTCATTCTAACAACAGAACACAAAGTCAAATCACAGCGGCAACTTTACCCCAGACCCCAAACATGCACCCCCGAGGACGCCCCCAGCAAGGACATAAGGGCCCAAGGATTCTTTTGCTTCAGGTTGTGGCTGCCACTGCGTGTGGGGAGGGAGGGACCCCCGAGCAGACCCCAAAGTAATCCATGGAGAACCAAGGGTCCTGATTTGTCTTCCATCTCTTCATATTTTCTGTGTGTTCTGATTCCATGAACTTTCCGGGTCACTGATCGCTCAACTTTTCCAAAAAAAACGAGCTCACAAAGGGCAATGCTCACAAAATAAAGTCACAAGTGCCCTCTGGCCGGCTCTTTTGCAGAAGTTGAGGTTTCGTGGGCCTATTGCATCGAGACCTGAGGGTACAGGGCGTGCTGGTGGGAACTCAAACCGTATGTGAAATCACAGCACCCGCTGTGCATTTGGGCCTCAAAGTCTGCCCACAGAGGCAAGCTTGGTTCCTCCTTACAGCTGCCTCATGGAGTACACCATTGGCCCCATGAATTATTCTCATCGTTCTGCAGGTGAGATATAGCTGAGCCTCGGGAGGAAGAAACCAATTTTATCAAGTCTCAACAGGGGTGTTTTCCTTCCTTTTCTAAGACTTCCTTCCTTCCTTCCTTCCTTCCTTCCTTCCTTCCATCTTTCCATTTTTCTTACCTTCCTTCCTTCCTTCCTCTTCCCTCCTTCCCCCATCCCTCCCTCTCTCCATGGGACACTTTCTGAGCCACTGTGGCATGCCAGGCAGGCTAAATTCTGTCACAGATGACTCAGCCAGACTCTCGCTTATCACTCCTCTTTCCAGCCATACCCATCCCCCCTCGAATAGCAGGAAATGACAACCATGCTAGCAGGAAACAAAAACACAGAGTGCCTCTACCATGAAAGCAAAGAAGACCACAGCAGCACATTTGGACCTGGGAACCCTCCTGGGAATGTCTCTTCAAAGTCTCCTTCCTACGTAGCCTTCTTCTCCGTGCCCATAGACTCTTCCTTGGGATGCCCGCTTTTCTGGACTCAACCTCCTCCTTTATCTCTAACCCAGTAGTGATGTCCACCTTAGAAGCCTTGCCCCTGAATCTCTCAACCTGCCTCCCCTCAAATGTCCAAGCATCTCTGATATCCTGCCTTGAATTCATCAAGTCTTCCTTGGCTTCTCATGGCCTGGGCTGGAATGCCTTGGCTCTTGGTCATTGGCCAAGTTTTGAGAGCCCAGAAGCTCCATGGTGGAGTCACTGGGAGGAAAAAGATCTGATTCAAATCCCAGCTCTGCCACTGAACAGCTAGGAGACCTTTGCGATTTTTGGAACCTCTCAGCCTCCATTTCCACGTCCAGGAACTGGGAGCGATGATATCCACCCGATCTACAGCAAAGATCAAGTGAATGATGTGTACAAAGCCCTTGGCACTATGCCGGGCACACCACTCAAACTCAGTCCCCATGGCAGTCACCAGCCCTGGGAAGCACTCGCCTATACCTTTCCCTAGCGGACCCCTTAGCTTCCTCGTCTGGCTCTTCCACGTTTCTCATCTGTTGTCCACAGTGCTTTACCTGTTTCTCTCTCTTTCCTAAAATTACAACATTTCTAAAATATCAAACACTGCCTGGGTAGTCCTTTCTCATCAGGCAGTTACAAGCCACGTCACCCAGACAGGTTGTTAGCTCTGTTATACTTAGGGCACCAAGCTCGGGAAGAATGGGTCTGCGTCTTACTTGCATCTCTGTCAATCTGTCAGGGAGACCTGAAACTCTCAGCGCCTCAGTCTTTTCATTGGTCACACGAGTGAATGGGCCGATCCAAAGATATAAAATTCAGGTCATGGGGCACCTGGGTGGCTCAGAGGGTTAAAGCCTCTGCCTTCGGCTCAGGTCGTGATCTCAGGATCCTGGGATCGAGCCCCGCATCAGGCTCTCTGCTCAGCGGGGAGCCTGCTTCCCCCTTTCTCTCTGCCTGCCTTTCTGCCTACTAGTGAGCTCTATCAAATAAATAAATAAATAAATAAATAAATAAATAATCTTTTAAAAACTAAATAAATAAAATAAATAAATAAAATTCATGTCAAAGGAAGTCCACAGATGTGTTTTCTTTAGCCCCCATAGTTTTGGGTTTTCTTAATGCTTTTAATTGGCTGCCCACATTTAAGGAAAAGGAGAGATGTCACAAGATAATTCAGATTTCTGACTTCTCTTGAAAGCTCAGATGGATGCCAAAGCTGAGGTCCAGTCTATGGCCATAACTCGCGGGAACTGTGTAGCACCTGGACCCTTCGGATGGGGAGGGAAGTCTCCAGCTCCTGGTGATTCTGCCACACCCACTCACCCCCCCAACCGCCCTCATTCCTGTGACCTGTCTGGCTTCTACAGACAGAAGAACTGGATGGTCACTCTGGTCCTTTCTATCCCTCGAATTCTAACTCATATACACAGTTGCCTTCGAGAAGCTACAGTCTGGACACCCCTTATTGAGTATTCTTTTGGGGCCCATGGGACAGATTTCAAAATAGAAGACCCTTGAGCAGAGAGGAGGGAGCAAGAATCTGATGGTTTCAGGAATGACCACCAGGCCTGGATAAACCGTAGAGAGAGCTCAGAGCCTTTCTTCTGTCCTTCACTGTTGCCCAAGATTTGGTATGGGGGAGTCTATGGTTAAGTAACTGCCCCCCTTCATTCCTAGAACCAGAATAAACCTGGAAGTGAGAGGGAAGAAAGCGTAATCCATTCTGGACCCTGGACATTCTGGACCCATCCTGGCCCTTCCATTCCCGAGCCACGGACCCTCATAGCCTCTGGATGCGTGTGGCCCGATGGGTGTTAAGGAAAATCCCAGCCATCCCTGATATCCACTCATTTAACAGATGAGGAATTTCAGGCTGAAGGAGAGGAAGTCACTTGCTTAAGGACACACAGCACAGAACTTAGGGAATGTCGCCTCCTAGGCCCTAAATCCACATACTATATCCTATATTCTATATCCTCCCACTTCCTCTACCCTCATATGATGACTGAGTCTGGACTCCAGCCTGGCTAAGGAGAACAGGACGCCACGGTGACTTGCCCCAGATGCCACTGCCACCCACCTTTGTTCTCAGTTTCAATTTCTGATTTTTCACACGTATGCACTTCCCGTTATCGGTTATTTTAGGAACTGGGATAAAAAGCTTGTTGGCATAGTTAGGATCGATTCCCTTTGTGTAGGATCCCTAAGGGAAAAAACAAACAGAAAATGGTTATTACTCTTGGCCCTTACTCCCCAAGAGGAGGGGGGAAACTCGTCCTTGGCAAGATCTGAATGGCAGGTAAACTCTGGCAAAGGAAGGCCCAGGTCTGACCTGTGAGGCTGGTAGTGTGCGCGGACTGGTATAAGGTGGACAGAACACCTGGAGGGACGCCAGTAGGACATGGCCAGAATCCTCCACTTCCCAGAGGATAGCCCACCTCACAAGGCCGGCCTCTTCCTGTCTTCTCTTATCTATCTGTGCTGGGAAACACTGGAGCTACCGGCAACCCATGACACAGGGCAAGGCTTCAGGCCAGAAGCAGAAGTAAAAATGCCAGAGGTGGACACTATTCCAGGAGAAGTGCATCTTGACCCAAGAGTATACTTTGTGGGTTTTGAAATATCTGGGTACCACGTGAGGCTGCTCCGGGAACACACTCATGGTCCTCTCATTGCCAAAGCCACAGTAAAGCTCTCTGGCGAAAACAATCCCCCACTCTGTGAGGTTTCAGGAAGGCTCTGCCTCTCTGCTCCTGAGAGGTTTCCATATACATCCTCCCTCCTGGATGCGCTGACCATGGAGTGATTAACGGGGAGACCAGACACAAAGGAAGTCACTACTGAACCCTACAAAGCAACAAACACGGGGCAGGAGGCCAACTAAGAATCTAGGGAAGAAACCAGAAAGGCCCCCAGGCAGGCCACCTCAATGCGGAAATGAGGCGGGTCTCCAGATCGACCCCTCCCCCCCAGACAGGAAGTACCTGCAAGAAGGTAATATGGCTCTGAATGAAAGGATGCATTGACAGATCCATCTTGACCTGCTGTACCAGCATGGCCCAGTGCTGGCTCACAGAGGCACATCTGTTCAGGTTGTTTTTATCCAGCATACCTGAAAAAAAAAAAAAAAAAAAAAAACCATGGACCTGGGAACCTCCCAACCGGCCCGTGATGAGCAGTGTCTGGAGAAATCCCCCAGTACAGCCCAGCATACTTAGAATATATTTGGAGAGGTGAACGGGCAGGGAACGGATGAAGTCCCGGTATTTGCTGACTCCAGAGGACAGGTCTTTGACGACATCCAAGTCAACCAACAGATTGGAAGGTGTGTATTCGGCCTTCGACAGGCCTGCTTTTCTGGAAAACAGGCTATTCATCTCGAAAATGCACTGGATGGAACTCTTCCATTGTCCGTCTAGAGGAAAGCGAGCGAAAGGTGCGGGATGAGGCTGATTCTGCGGTAACCCCAGGCCAAGAGAAGCCCTCAAGAAACCCTCTCCCCAGAAATAGAGCTCATCAGAATCCACCCTTAAACCCCTGGATTTTTATCGTTTCTTCTGCCAGAGTGGAAATAATGACCTCCCCAACGAAACGCACAAGGACTTTTTTTAGCCTTTCCAGCTCAGGTGGGATACTTATAGCAGCAAAGCCTGCCCCACTCAAGTGAAATGGCCTTGTGCCTGTAATTTCCTTAGAATACCGCAAGGGAAAAAAATATATAAACAATTTTGTAAAGGTACAAATGAATGACATGAATGGGCCAAGTACTGATAATTATCGACACTGAGTGATGGTTATGTGCGTGGTGATCACGCGGTCTTATCTGTTTATGAAATCTGGAAGTTTCCAGATAAAAAGTGCCTGAGAATTGATGCTTTGTGTTTCTTATAATGAGGTCATGTAGAGCTCTCGCCTCACACAAACCAGCTCAGGAAATCTTTGAGGTTATGCCCTAGTTCCCCACTGCTTTTGTTTCCTCCTCAAGACTGAATCCAATGCAGCAAAAGATAGGCGCCAGTGGGCTGACCTCTAGAGGTGTCCCCCACGCCAAAAAGTGAGGGGCCAGACAAGGGATTGTGGCCCGGGGCAGAGGGAGAACCCTCTTACAGTTCCCTTTCTGAGCTCTATTTTCAGGCATCTATCAGAGGCACCAAGATGGAGAAGTGAAAACATGGGCTTTAATAAGGTTATAATGATCACCTTCAATTCTTGCTTCTCCCCTACCGGATGTGGGATTCGATGATGTAATAAGGATCAGTGAGCCCAACATACCATGATGCCAAATGAATGTTCATCTCCAAAACCTGCCACCCCCAGACACTACTGCTCTGTGCCCACCACCCCAAACCCATGGGGACTTCCCGATCTCCTGTCTATTAGCTTTTTTTTTTTTTAAGATTTTTTTTTATGTATTTGACAGACAGATCACAAGTAGGCAGAGAGGCAGGCAGAGAGAGAGGAGGAGGAGGCAGGCTCCCTGCTGAGCAGAGAGCCCGATGCGGAACTCGATCCCAGGACTCTGGGATCACGACCCGAGCCGAAGGCGGAGGCTTTAACCACTGAGCCACCCAGGCGCCCCTCCTGTCTATTAGCTTTCTTGCTACAAGCTGACTTACCAGTATTAGATGCTTCGCCCCCCCTGTTTTCAAGCGAATTTTCTTTTCCTGAAGCTCTGGACAAAGGGAAGGATGCAGTCTTGGTGCTGGCTGCCCAGAAAACATCTGAGGTCTCATACGGCACGTTGTAGTCTTTCTCGGGAAAGAAAAAAACACATCACTAGTGTCTTGGTTGGGGCCTGAAAAGCCAACGGCCAAGACAAGGTGGCTTTTTAAGTGGGGTGGTGGAGGAAAGGACGTGAGACAAACAGTTTTTTGTTTGCTTGTTTGTTTTTTAAAGATTTTATTTATTTATTTGATGAGAGAGATCACAAGTAGGCAAAAAGGCAGGCAGAGAGAGTGAGAGGGAAGCAGGCTCCCTGCTGAGCCTGAGATCATGACCTGAGCCGAAGGCAGCGGCATAACCCACTGAGCCACCCAGGCACCCCGAGAAAAACAGTTTTATTTCTACTTGCTTCTCTTCAGTCTATACAAAACAGACCGGGCCAGTTATGTCTGGTTTTTCAGGAGGAGGGAGGCGGGAAGGGGGGCCTCCAAGTTTCCATACAAAAATTGCAGAAAGGGGCGCCTGAGTGGCTCAGTCAGTTAAGCTTCTGCCTTTGGCTCAGGTCATGATCCCAGCATCTTGGGATGGAGACCCCATCAGGCTCCTTGCTAAGCAGGAGGCCTGCTTCTCTGCCTACGACTCCCTGTTATGTGCTCTCTCTCTCTCTCTCTCACAAATAAATAAAATCCTTAAATAACTAAATAAATAAAATAAAAAGCCTTCCCAGTGATTCTGATGCAAGCTGAAGTTTGAGAACTCCTCTTCAAGGTTGGATTTTATGCACAAGCAAGGAATATGGTGCAATGAAAGGGGAAAGCCCTAAACTTGGACCTCTTGACCCAGGTTCTGTGCAGGGCAAACTGAAAGGCAAAACAATTCAGAAGCCTCCCCTTTACATCCCTCCCTAACCCTGTCTAATCCCTCACCCAATGCAGGAACCACACCAGCAAAAAGCAGTAGTGGCACAGGCCAGCCACATCTGGGTCTAACTCCGTTTTAAATGCCTCACAGTGGGGTCCCTGGGTGGCTCAGTGGGTTTAGCATCTGCCTTCAGCTCAGGTCATGATCCCAGGATCCTGGGACCAAATCCTAGCATGGCATGGGGCTCCCTGCTCAGCGGGGAACCTACTTTTCCCTCTCCCGCTCCCCCTGCTTGTGCTAGCTCTCTCTCTTTTTCTCCCTCTCTCTCATAAATAAATAAAATCTTAAAGAAAAAGCTTTAAAATAAGACAAAAAATACAAAAACAAATGCCTGACAGTTAAAAGTTCTGCACTTCCTTCTTTGTGTGCATTCTATACTTTTCTAGAAGGAAGTCGCAGTCTGCAATTTCTCCTTCGGTAAACAGGGCTGCAGGTCAGGACAAGGACATCTGTCCTGTATTCTGGAAGATCCCCGTCTCCCTAAGCTGGTCCACACCCCTGGTTCCTTGACAGGTTCCCCAAGTCCGGCTTCCCAGTCCCCCCGGGGCCTCATTTACCCGTGACGTTGTTCCACTGTCTCAGAGACAGGACCCTGATGACATTGGCAGCGGTCAGCAGCAGCTTGGGGTCGCACATCTGCAGGAGAAAGAGCGTGTAATTCGCCTTGGTCCGGTAGGTGCTTCTCGCAAACCAGAACAAGATCTCCCGCATCTTCTGCTCCACAGTTTTATCCAACATCTGGTTCAAGGAAGACCTGACGATCTTCCCCTCCTTCCTGCTGAGGTTGATCCGGGACCGGCTGTAGATGAAATCCTTCCCCTGCGTGGTCTGAAGGATATTCTGAAAATAGTGCAGCAAGTAGAGGCTACCCAGCTGCTCCAGGATGCTCACCAGAAACCTTCTCCGGGGCACCTCTCCTATCCTCCAGAACCACTGTTTGGTCGAGAAGATATTCCAAGCCAAGACACATGTTTCGCACTTTTGACACACGGGGACAGAACTGTCTCCCTTCTCACAACGGAAATACGGGGCATTCCCGAGCCTTGGGTCCAGGTTTTCCATGATTCTGAGATGACCAGCTCATTTTATCCTTGCCCGTTGTCAACCCCACCAAACACCAGAGGTACAGGAGAGGCGGACAGATATCCCAGTTGAGCCTTTTCTATTATAAACATTTCCCAGAGGAAAGGTAAAGCCCTGCGTTGGATGGAAAGCTGCTCTCTCCTAGAAACTGCCGGTAGAAGTCTGGCTTTTTGTACTGACTTCCTAGGAAACATGGCTTTTACCGTAAATCTCCTAAACCGGGCACTACTTAGTAGGAGGAGGCAGTTGCTGTATATTCTGAAAGAGCTGGTCATCCCATTTCTAGACCACAAGAATAGCATCAGTCACATTGAAGTCATACGTGGAACCCTCTTAAAGGAAAAGATATATATATCATATATCATGGAGCCTGGCGTTGAGCTTCGATTGTTACTAATGACTTGTAAATATTCATGATGTACTTCTTACGTTAATAGCTGTTTGGCTATAAGGTGGCTAGCCCAATGATCCTGAATATGTCTCTACTCATTTTCTAAAGTCATCGTTGAACTGAAAACACAAATGTTTACTACGAACATAGAACGTAAGTCTAAGTCGTTCACTGGTTCAGAATGCTAACGAGAAACCTCTGCAGGGAAGCCCTCCCTCAGGGAAAAATTTCACTCAGCCTCAATCACACGCTCCTCTGAGAGGCAGCACCTGGACTGAATTCAAGATTGAGGGGCGGTCACCCCTTGGGGTGCATTACATTGAATACAACCCAAGGAAGTGTTTGAAAGCAAAGAACTTTTGATTACTTGGCGCAAGTAAGGAGACAGGAGATCACTCTCAAAGCACCGTCTCTCTTGGGGTTAGAACAGGAAGCTTTTATTCAGTGTATTAGGGGGTGAGAGCAAGGAGCTTGCATATACATTAAGGAATTTTGCACGCTCTATTACTTGGGCATTTCCGTTCAATTGCTCAGACCTAGACCGCCCACATGCTAGTGTATACATTACGTTCAAAAGGTGGCAGAAAATTTCGCCCCTAGGTGGAGATCTTAGTACTATAAACAGATAAAGGTAAGTTCAGGACCAGGTTAGAGGGTGGGGACGGAATCGGTACACAGCTCTAAGCCGGCTCAAACGGCTCCAGGAGGAGCTAGCCGGTGAAATATCTAGCCAGGGGCTATCAGATGAGACACCCAGCTGGGCAGCTCTCAAAACAGCACCTTCCTTCCTTGCTCTCCTGCATTTCCCATCTTCCTTCTGCTGTTAGCTTTCAGTCCTCTGATTCTGAGTACCTCCCCATCGCATCCCAGCCAACAGTACAGCCAAGTGGAGAAGAGTGAGGAGTCTGGGGCAGGACTCCTGGACCCTAGCCCAGCTGCTTACTAGCTCTGGGTGCACAAGCGCATTACCCAATGCCCAATGTGTCAGTTTGCTTATTTGTAAAACAAAGACAACAATAGTTTTGACTTGGGGGGGGTGCGGTTTGAGGATTAAATGAGATACTATATGCAAAGCACTTAAAAGATCGCCTGTTACCTATTCAGCCCTCTAGAAGTGCTAACTATTGTCCTGTTGTAGCTGTCATCCTGGGTGTTATCGGGATCATTGTTCTGGGCAGCCAAGTAATCAATGCCCACTCCAATCTCTACACAATCTCCAATCTCCATGTGCATACATTGAGATGCATGTAAAAAATGAACCTAGGCAGGCACTGGCTCAGTCAGTCAAGCGTCTAACTCTTGATCTCAGCTCAGGTCTTAATCTCAGGGTTGTGAGTTCAAGCCCCATGCTGGGCTTCACTCTGCATGGAGCCGACTTAAAAAGAAAAAAAAAGAAGAAGAAGAAGGACATGAAACATGGTGTACCTGTTTCGTGAGGTCTTTACCATTTGCCGTGGCTTATGATCCATTCAGGAGTGATGACTTGGGTCATTACAGCCAGCCCTCGGAGTGCACAGGGTCCCCCAGGTTTCCAAACAGAGGCTTCTGCTGTCACTTATGACCCAGAAAGAGATCAGGGGCTCAGTGGGCTTTTCAAACATTTTGAACAACAAAATCCTATTTGCAAATCGTCGTCTTCTGTAAAAGCTCAATGTGGAACATAGACAAAATGACTTTATACTAGAATACATCTATGTTGTAAGTTCAAAGTTCACTTGCTAGCAAGGCAAGCAGGGAGAACAACTTGGCTATTTTGATGAAGACAAAACTTGGGGGACGCCTGGGTGGCTCAATCGGTTAAGTGGCTGCCTCCGGCTCAGGTCATGATCCCGGAGTCCTGGGATCCAGTCCCGTATTGGGCTCCTTGCTCAGCGGAGAGCCTGCTTCTCTCTCTCCCTCTGCCTGCCACTCTGCCTATTTGTGTTCTCTCTCTCTCTCTCTCTCTCTCTCTCTCTGTGTCAAAAAAATAAGTAAAATCTTAAAAAAAAAAAGAAAAAAGACAAAACTTGGGAACCTGAAGTTAAAGATGACAGACATGCGGTACGCCTGGGTGGCTCAGAGGGATAAGACTCTGAGGGCTTCAGCTCAGGTCATGGCCCCTGGGATCGACCCCCACATCGGGCTCTCTGCTCGGCAGGAAGCCTGCTTCCCCTTCTCTCTCTGCCTGCCCCTCTGCCTACTTGTGATCTCTTTCTCTGTGTCAAATAAATAAATAAAATCTTACCAAAAAAAATACAGCTTCCCTCTAGGATTAGACCAGATGTGTGAGACCAGCTGTCACTGCTCTTGTCAATGTTGTAATGATTTCCCTAGATTAAGCCAAAATGTTTGGTGTAACTGAGCATTTCTGGTGCCCATGTCTGGAGACTAGGCACAGTTAGAGAAAGGTACTGGATATCATTGCCTGGTTCGGTGGCAAAGGCAGTCTCACACAAGGGTCAGGACTAGAGACAGGAATCGGGCTGCGAAGGAGATCAATTCTAACAGGTTGGTCTCTTCTGCCTGAATTAGTATCTGGAGAAAAGGTGAAGGTGGGTTAGCATCTAAACTCTTGGGGAGGGTGGCCAGGAGGAAAGAGTTCCCATACGCATAGGGTTTGGGTCTCTATGCAGGAGACACACTACCAATGCCCCAGAACTACTACAAACTGAAAGTAGCTCGTGTTTTTTGTTTTGCTTTGTTTTATTTGTTTTTAGAGGGGGAGGTAGAGGGTGGGCTGGGAGGGTGGGAAGAGGCAGAGGGTGAGAGAGAGAACATATTAAGCAGCTGCACACCCAGCAGGGAGCCCGATGTGGGGCTCGATCTCACAACCCTGAGATCATGAACTGAGCTGAAATCAAGAGCCAGATGCTTAACTGACTGAGCCACAGAGGCGCCCCTAAAGTGGCTTGTTTTTGAAGGTCCAAATTAATCAGTGAGGCTGACATACATCATAGCAGTTTTACCCACCCAGCTCAGTCTTGATTCCATGCTGAGGGCCAGCAGTGGCCCTGTAGGGGAGCACAAACCTGGGAGTCAGAGAGATTGGCTGGAACCCCTTTGCTGCTCCTTACTAGCTGTGTGACCTTGAACGAGGTACTCGTGCTTCCCTGAGCTCCCGTTTTCTTATCTGTAGAAGATATATAATCCCCACCGCGCAGAGTGCTATCCTATGAGGACTAATTAATGAAATTAGGTGAGCAGAGAATTTCTTTCTACTTCCTCTGCATTCCACTCACTACCACTACACACACACACACACACACACACACACACACACACACACGGCATCTTACCTGCAAGGTGACCGGAGGGGATAAGCCAATGATGAACTAGCACCGCTGGTAGGAAGAGGAAGGCAGGGAAATAGGTCTCAACAGCGTTGAGACCCAGGAGAGGAAAACATTTCTCAAAGGAAGGCTTTGGGGCTGAGAAGTCCACCTGGAGATTTCTCAGATATCCAGGCTCCCAGCAGCCTGTAGACGTCGTGCCAGTCCCCTAGCTGTCCTTTCTGCCCTGTGTTCTTCAAGATTCCGATTAAACGGTCTTCCCATATGGCCTCAGTCTCTACTTCCCTTTCCCACCACCCTCTCGCACTGTTTGGAGAGCCCCAGGGGGTAGGGCTGCTTCACCCTACCCCGTTCCGCTGTCCGATCTAGGACTGCACCCACGGCCACCTGCCGGGCTCAGCCAGCAGGAAGTGGGGAAAGGGCTTGGTGGCTGGAGTAGGAGGGTGTGGGGTGAAATCAGGCTGTGCTGCGGCCAGCGACTCGCCCCTGGGTAATTCCCTTCCTGCTCCCCTTCTGCAAAATGGAGCTCGTACTTCTGCCTAGCTCGTGGGTGAGAGTCAGGGTCAAGTGAAGGGACGCATCTGAATGGCACCTTACAATGTGTGAAGAATTATCCAAGTACTGTTACCAGGGAAAGCGGGGGAAACTCACATTTTATCATCATCTCTCCTTCGTGCGGTGTTACAAAGTCAACTGAGCAAAGTTTCTGCTCCTGAGAAGTCCTCAATTTCCAGGCATTTAAATTGCCCTTTGACTTTGAAAGCAGCAGGTGGAACACAAGGGCATTGGCTCGACGTGTTTTATGACGCACGAGGGGGAGGACGCAGACAAGCACAGAAAAGTTGGAAACTCAGCTGCTGGCAGTTGACAAGCAGAGCCGGTTAGGGAGAGAGAGATGCGAACCGTGGTTCTCACACTTGGCGCGGGCTTCAGAATCGCCCTGAGGCCTTAATAAACCAGACTGCTACACCCGGTCCCCAGAGTTTCTGATTCCTAAATCCAGGCTGGGAGCCCCAGAATTTACATTTCTAAGAAATTTCTGGATGGTGCTGACTTGGCTGGTGGGGAAATCACACTTTGAGAAAAACGGCTGTGAGCTATGCTTGCGTCTAAGTCTGTGAACGGAACTTCGCTTTAAAAATGAAAACGGTGGCGGGGGAGGGGGGCTGCACCTGGCTGGCTCAGTGGGTTAAAGCCTCTGCCTTTGGCTCAGGTCGTGATCCCAGAGTCCTGGGATCAAGCCCCACAACAGGCTCGCTGCTCAGCGGGGAGCCTGTTTCCCCCTCTCTCTCTCTGCCTACTTGCAATCTCTGTCAAATAAATAAATAAAATCTTTAAAAAAAAAAAAAATGAACACAGGGGTGCCTGGCTGGCTTGGCCGGTGGAACGTGGGACTCTTGATCTCACGATTGTACCATCCAGCCCTACCTTGGGTGTAGAGACTCCTGTAAAAAAAACTAATTTTTTTTAAAAAGGTAAAAATAAACACAAATCCTTCATTCTTTCAGAAGTTATTACTGGGGGTGCCTGGTTACTCAGTCGGTTAAGTGGCTTTCTTCAGTTTACGTCATGATCTCGGGGTCCTGGGATGGAGCCCCGCATCGGGCTCTCTGCTCAGCAGGGAGCCTGCTTCCCCCTCTCTCTTCCCCCTCTCTCTCTGCCTACTTGTGATCTCTCTCTCTGTCAAATAAATAAAATCTTAAAAAAAGAAAGAAAGAAAGAAAGGGACTAAGCATGTCCCAGCAAAGCCTGGACGACCAGTCACTCTACCTGAGCTGTACACAGTAGGTGCCCTGTGTGTATGTATCAGCTGAACATGATACACCCTCCCTGCAAGGCCTCCTGCCCTCCCACCACCATGTCTCACGGTGGGTGCAGAGGGAGGGGTGTTGAGCTCAGGGAGCTAGGAGAAGCAGGAAATGTGCACGCTACCATTTCTTCTATATCTGTCTTTGGCTATCGGGGCTGGAGTGGTGAGCCCCAAAATGGGGGTAGTTGGTTGTAGAGATGGGGAGCAATCAGACAGATGGTCAGTCAATGACACAACAGAAAATTCAAGATGGGCTGAGAAGACATTGCATTAGAGGCAGTACCTCAGACATGGAATTGAGGGATGTAGTCCATACTGCTTTGGCTGTTACTGTTGTGAATAGTAGATTCCTCTATTTTTTTAAGATTTTATTTTTAAGTAATCTCTGCACCCAGTGTGGAGCTTGAACTCACAACCCCCTAGATCAAGAGTCCCACGTTCTACCAGCCAAATGCCCCTTGAATAGTAGATTCTTATTTAGTTCTTCAGATTCTATCATTTTTCACTTAAATTTAAATCAGTTTCTTGGGGCTGTCATTGAACATCCAACTCTTGATTTCCGCTCAGGTCGGAATCTCAGGGTCATGAGATTGGGCCCCACGATGGGCTCTACGCTGAGCATGGAGACTACTTAAGATGCTCTCTCTCTCTCTCTCTCTCTCCCCGTCTACCCCTCCGAATCCCCACTCTCTCTCTCTCTCTCAAAAAAAAAAATTATATATATATATATATATATCAACTTCTTGTGATCAAAAGATACATCTAGTTCTGTTCTGGGTCACTGTTATCTTAGCATGTTGGCTTCCATGTTATAAATGCCACATGTGTTGAACCAATTTGATTTGATTTCAGGACAGTCATTCCAAAAACATGCTGAACCCGGTTAGAGAAATAAGGGTTCCACAATTGGGCCAAAATTCTTATCTCCTCATTCCATCATGAAGCATGGGAGGACGTGGGAATTTACTCAGGTTCTCTAACATTCCTGGAAAAGAATGTCATAAGCACTTGAACTTCAACAAGTTGAGCCAAGAATGAATTACATAGTCGCTGAAATTACATTCTGACTCCACAATCACAAGTGGTCTAGTAACGGAACAAAACAATCACGCACCAGAAGGAGCCCCTGATGAGTGCAGACTTTTTTGTCAACACAGAGCAAGAGGAAGTAAGTGTAGGTAAATACAGAAGGGCCGTGTGTGCGTACACACACACACACACACACACACACACACACACACGGCTTGGGGGAAATGACAGAATATAAAATAGGCCTTTGTTCTCTTGTTTTATTTATTTATTTATTTTAATTTTTTTAAATTTGTTCATTTTAAACAATTCCTGTTTGGGGACCAAGAATAAGCAAAAAGATATGCCTGTCAGTGGAAGCAATGACAGATAGAAAGTAGGTGTTTCTAACTCTCAGTTTTGCTTTGATCTTCTATATCAAAAAGGGAAGGTTGACACTGAAACTGAATGAACAAAAAAGGAGCTGGCAGGGAAATGAAGTTCAAGTCAGTTAAGGAGACACCCCAACGGTCCCTTTATAAGAGCTCCGGCATTCTGACCTCAACAAGCTATGTCTCACGACACTGACACGGTTTGCCAATGTGACCAAAAAGCCAGGCAGTAATCTTCGAGAAACAAGGAAAAGTGATAGACGATGGGGACACACAAAACTGTCTCAGCTTTTAAAAAGAAAAATAAGGAACGTTCTGGAAGCAAAAGACTCATCAACTTGCTGTTAACTCACAGCAGAGAAACCTTAAAATGGTTTAGTCAAGCAGTTGGTGAGCATTCAGAAAATAAAGCAGCTGCACCAATACACCACAGTGGTTCCACAAAAACAAGAGCAGGCCAAGGTGTTCTCCTTTTCTCTTCTGAGTGCCTTGTGAGACAGGTGGAATGAGGAAAGGCAGACGTGTCTTGGTTTCTCCCTTTGGAAAAGTCCTTCCTGGTGTCTGGTGGATGAAGGGCTAAAAGTGGGCTACCTCAGTGTACAGTTTTACCAAAGTGTAACTTACTGCAAACTCAAAAGGCATTGACTGGGGGCTGCCAGATTCCCTATTTGACCCTCCCCTCATCAATAGGTATCAATAAGATTAATTAGGAAAGTTGACCAGCTCTGTGGGGGACACCAGGTTAGGAAGGAGCACTCATCTATGGGCTCCAGAATCAAGAATCAAAAGCATCTCGGTGAACAGCAATGATGCTATGAAATTTTAAATTCAAGTTAAAAAAAAAATGAGCTCAGTAAAATTCAAATTTCAAGACATCCGATAAAAACAATTCAAATCCTACACTGTATAAATCCTTGGACACGAATAGAGGGCAGGGTCTCTGGGAACAAGGTAAGCGACTCAAAGCAATGTGCTCTTGAGAAAGGACCACCTACGGACAGAGGAGGAGACTTGCCTGACACGGTTCACAGGAAACAACCCAGAAGTTATAAAGGAAAGTGGGAAATGTAGCATAAAAACAAGACGACTTTCCTGGAGGGTATGCGTGAGAACTGCCTCCAAGTATTTGAAGGGCGGTCCTCTGAATGAGAGATGAGACAAGTCCACATCTTGAGGTGAGACCCTCCCCAGAGGTCATGAGGACTAAGACTCCAACTCCGGGAAGACATTTCTTAGCATCGTCACTATCCAAAAATCCGATGAGCTGCGGGGTGAGGTAGTGAGGTCTCAGCTGCTCGGCCCACCCAGACGGAGTGGGCGCCAAGGCACGGAGGGTTTAAGAGACTTGATGTCCATGCTGAGGAGCTCATCATGTAGCTTATTCCCTTACACACAACACCCAGGATGGGATGAGGAAGGCAGCATCATGTAGTGGTTAAAATCTCTGCATCGGTCTGCTCAAGTTGCAATCCCAGCTCTGCTACTCGCTCACCGTGTGAGTGCAATGACTTTGAGCAAGTTCACTGACCATCACCCCCCACCCCGGGACCACGGGTTCCCCATCTGCAAACTGAGGATGATGGGAGCCTGGACCCCCAGGGAGCTACCGTGAAGTTGGGAGTCGATGGCCATGCGGCATCCAGAACAGTGTCTGGGGCATAGGCAACACAAAATAGAGTCTGCAATTGATTCTGATTACTCCACAATCTCTGTGATCGCGCTGAAGATTCCTGGGCACCGAGCCTGGGCACAGTGTGACATTCACCTTAGCAGAGAGGAGAACATCACTAGAAGAAGAGAAACGGGGTGTAGGTGCCTAGGGAGTAGAGAACACGGAGACCAGCACAGCAGAAGTAAAAGGGGAAAGCCAGAGACCTCTCCCCTCATGCAGGAACCCACGTGATTCCTAAAGCCACTGGCAGACATTTCCATCCCCAAGTCCCCCTTAAGATGCAGGCTGCTGGCTGGTCTTTGTGGACAGCAAGGGTCTGGGGTCTAGGGCGCAGCCTCGGCAGATGGTGGCATGGGCTTCTCAAGCTCCACCCCCAGATCCATGATCCAGATGGTGTTTTCCTTCTTGGAAAGCCAGAAGGCAGGGTAGACCGGCTCTGAAAACTTGCACTCAAACTTGTGAATCAGAGTCATGGCATCGGGCTCTACCCCATAGAAGGAGAGGACCCCCCCCAGAAAGTCCACATAGATCCCCAGCCTCCGGAAAGGGCTGGCTTTGAGCGGGGTTTCCGTGTCGCTGTGCCAGGCTGTGAACTCCTTCCCGTTCCAGTGGAGGCTCCAGGAGAAGTTGTTTCCAGAAATGCAACCGTTGCGCTCCTCCCCTTTCCGGTCAATGCCTTTGCAAGTCAGGCCAACATAGGTGCCCGCTCCCAAGATCTCTACCTCGAAATAGTACCTGTGCAGGTAAAGGCTCTGTGTAGACAGCACCTGCCGCCAGTGCACAAACCTGCTGGGGAGGTCTGGGTAGGGATGCTCCCAGGGCGTGGTGTTGGTGACCTTGCGATTGTCCTCCTGCAGCCGGAGATACCTGTGCGCCGTGTCCGGGTCAAAAGAGATGTCACATGCATCTGAGGGGATATGGGAGAAGGGCGGGGAGGCAGGTCAGGAAGGGACAGCTGCTCTGGACAGGACACTTTGAACCCATCCTTCCCAAGTAAGAGAAAACATCTCTGTCCTCTGCTTTGTTTACCCCAGGCCACTGCTCCCCCCAGAAAAGCGGTGGGCGAAAACCAGGAGCAGAGAACACAAGTCGTGCCACTTCCTTCCTTTCTGAAGTTCAAATTGCTTGGCATTGACTGTGCGATTTATGGAACTGAATCAAGAAATAAAACCCCCTGATTTAGTCATTCATTCATTCGAAAAATACGTATCGAAAGCCGGGCACTCGTCTTCTTCTCAGTGTTGGCAAGGGTTTGTGGAAATAGGCACTCACATACCCACTCCTGATTCTTTTTTTTTTTTTTTAATTTGACCAATATTTAGCATGGTAAACTCTCACCCATTCCCTCAAACATACTCATTTCCGAATCCCAGAGAATCAAAAACTAATGGCACCTCCTTGCACCCAGTTGCTGGAGTCACACTGAAGTTATTCTGGAAATTTCTTTGCGCCCAGCCTCCCCACCGCCCCCCACAACACACAGACAGCCCCAAGCCTGGTAGATCCCACTTCTGTGCAAACCACTGCTTCACCCCCAATCTAGTCCAGAATCATACAACAGGCTCCTAGCTGTCCAAGCTCTGTCTTGACCCCCTTCCATCCCCTGTCCACCACAGAGCCATGGAGCAGGTTTCAGGGTACAGGCTAAGGTAAATCATGTCACCCCAGCTTTAAGACCTTGGATAGTGCCTCTTGCCCACAGAATGCAACAGTGGCCCATCACCCCGGCCTGCACAGCCAGGAATGACGGGCCCTTGCCCGTGTCTCCAGCTTTGTCTCCTGCCCTCTGGCCCTTGATGGCCATGGTCCAGCCATCCTCGCCTCAGAAATATGCAGCGCTGAGCCCACTTCGGAGCTTTAGCACAGACCATTCTCTCCGTGACATCATCATCACCCTAACCTGAGCCTGGGAGATTCCTGCTGATCTTTCAAATTGTAGCTGAGAGCTCATGTCCTCAAGGAGGCCCTCTGTGACTCGCCACCACTTTCTCTCAGAGCCCTCCGACTTCTTAAGGGTCATGGTACTCCACACAATGGGTATAATCTATTTACTTATGGGTTCGTTTCATGCCCGTCTTCCTTCTAATCTATAAACTCCACATTTCACATGGGACTGGATCTTGGACTTCTAGCTCAGAGATGTTCAGTATATATTCCCCAAGTGAATTAGCATATTCAAATCTATTTAAAATCCATTAATATAAAAAACTATTTTAGATTAACCCAGAGTTTTCCAAACTTCTTTGTGTCTAGGGAAGGGAAATTCTTTTTTGTTGTTGTGGGGTTTTTTTGTTTTGTTTTGTTTTTGTAAGGGAAATTCTTACCAGTCAATGAATCACTTTAGAAGGGGAAAAAAAGGACACAACAATCTAAGAGGTTAAAAGGAAAAATGAAAGGGCTCCTGGGTGGCTCAGTCGGTTGACTTGTCCGACTCTTGATTTCAGCTCAGGTCACGGTCTCAGGGTCGTGAGATAGAGCTCCACGTCAGATCTGCTTTAGATTTTCTCTCTCTCCCTCTCCATCTGCCCCTCCCCAAGCTCTCTCTCTCAAAATAAATAAACAAAATCTTAAAAAAAAAAAATGTGAATGTGAACCAAGGACCATAAAAAGGCATACAGGTGCTCACTTTGGCAGCATCTATACTAAAATGGGAATGATATAGAAATGAGCACAGTCCATGGGCACAGGTCACATGCAAATTCGTGAAGTATTCCATATTTTTAAAGGCAGCCAAAGGTACAAAGTTCCAGCTATAAGGGAAGTCCAGGGGATGTCATGTACTGCACAGTGACTATCGTTAACGAGACGGTGCTACAGATCTGAAAGTTGCTAAGAGAGTAGATCTCAAAACTTCTCATCATTAAAAAAAAGAATTTTGTAACTATGTGAGGTGATGGATGCTAACCAAACTTTTCATTTCACAATATAGGTTTATGTCAAATCATTATTTTGTACACGTACAACTAGTATACGTTATATGTCAATAATACCTCAAAAAATGTGTTTTTTTGTTTTTATGCATTTGAGAGAGAGAGAAAAAGAGAGAGCACAAACAGGGGGAGAGGCAGAGGGAGGAGGAGAAGCAGACTCCCCACTGAGCTGGGAGCCTGATGCGGGCTCAATCCCAGAACCTGGAGATCATGACCTGAGACCGAGGCTGATGCCTAACCATCTGAGCCACCCAGGTGCCCCAAAAAACGTGTTTTAAAAAGGCATATTTTTGGGCGCCTGGGTGGTTCAGTGGGTTAAAGCCTCTGCCTTTGGCTCAGGTCACGATGTCAGGGTCCTGGGATCAAGCCCCGCATCAGGCTCTCTGCTCAGCGGAGAGCCTGCTTCCCCCTCTGTCTCGGCCAGATGCTCTGCTTATTTGTGACCTCTGTCTGTCAAATAAAGAAAAAAAAATTTTTTTTTAATTCTTTAAACTCTTTAAAGGAGAAAGAGTGGTCCCCACTGGTCAAGTTGACAATTTGAGCCACATGACTTTGACAGGTCCAACAAGTGGACTCTATATAAAAGTTTGTAACAACCCCCAAAAAGACGAAGTTAATATCGGGTATGAAAAAGACCTCCGTAATGCCAAATAACATAGGTTATAATACGATACGTTTCATCTTTATCTTAATGTCAGGAATAAAGTGTGTTTGGTTTCTTGTATTCATTAGATCTGTGTATAACAATACAGATGTGCTTCTTTCAGGAAGCAGGAAAGAATACATAAAGGAAACTATGTGGAAGTGGAGAGGTCCTGAGAAAAAGTAGGAGCCGTGGCAAAAACAGGAAACAGTCCTTGGAACCTGGGGCTCCATGGAGAAGGAGGTCCCACACTTAGCCAACCAGCACTCACCCCCAGAAAACAAGCAGTAGCAGGATTCAACGGTGTGTCCCAAAAAGATTAATTTGCCAAATGTCATAAAAATATGCAGTCCTGCCTCTCCTGGGAGATGAAAGCATATGGACTGGTTATGTCCTGATCGGAAACACAGTGTTTTATTTTTTTTTTTTTAAGATTTTATTTATTTATTCATGTGAGACAGAGGGAGAGGCAGAGGCAGAGGGAGAGGCAGAGGCAGAGGGAGAAGCAGGCTCCCCAAGGAGCAGGGAGCCTGGTGCGGGACTGGATCCCAGGAACCCTGGGGATCATGACTTGGCCAAAGGCAGACACCTAACTTTCTGAGCCACCCAGGCGCCCTTGGAAACACAGTGTTCTAAAACATGCTAACAGACCAGGTCAGTACCACAGAATGACAGGACAACAGGTTACCCAGTTCTGGCCAAGCCAGACTTAAAAGGGAGTCATCTGGTAACTAGCCAGGAGCTTCCAAAGCGCCAAGCTCATGAAAGACAGACTAAGGGATTGGACGCAGGCTGGGGGAGACTAAGGAGGCAGGGAAACATCTGTGATCCTGGATCAGACTAGGAGCCAGAAAAAGGACACCGGTTGGCACGCTGGGTGAAACACTCAGATAATTCTACAGATTGGTTAACAGTAGTGAACTGATGTTCATTTCCTGGTTTTGGTCAATTTACCGTAGTTATAGAAAGTGTTAATGTTCAGAGAAGTCTGATGAAAGGTATACCAGAATTCTGTCCTATTTTCTCCACTGCCTTTGTGAGTTTGAAATTGTCTCAAACATGAAAAGTAAAAAAAAATAAAATAAAAAAATTCAAAAAAATTAAAGTATTCCATTTAGGGGTAGACTTGAGTTTGCAACAGCCTGAAACTTACAGGAAAAACAGTGTTCTTGCTCCGACAAGCCTTACACTCACATCAGTAAGTGGGTAAGGAAAGCTGTTTGCAACTTACATTGGAGGAACTGCTGCCTGGTGCTGGGCTCAGGTTTTGAGGTCCAATACTTGCGCCTGACAACAGCAGACACTTGAGTGCTGATATCATACTCCTCTGGAAAATCAGAGAGTTATGCATGCATACCTGTCCAGGTGGTCAGGAGAACCTAAGAAGCAGGACTTCCCAGCCTCTCTTCCCCGGGCTCCCTGGGGAAGAAAGGGCTGGACTCCAGTCATATCAAAGAGAATCACGCTCAGTGGATGATTTCTCTGTGGGTGAAACAAAATCCACCGGAGAATGATCCCGAGCTGACTTGGATCTCACTTCAAAGTACAGGCATTAGCAACCTCGGAAACTAGTCAGGGAAATTTGAGCCAATGGCAGGATGTAACTAACTCAACTTCTCTGGGTTTGCATCATAAAATCAAATCATCAAGGTAAGTGCCCGTTAGCCACTGGTCTGGCCAAAGGACAGCTTTGAACATGAGCTATTCCCCCTGATTTCACCCTCTGTCCCCTGGCTCTCTCCCACTCTGAGAAACACACATTCCATCGCCCATGGCCCAGACAGCTTTCCTCACCTTCCTTGGAGAAATCCTGGAGCTTCTCCTTGTAGTTTTGCAGCAACTGAACTAAGTGCACCGTGGAGTCTGTGATGACCCGGCGGATGCCCGAGAGCTTGTCCTTGAGTCCGATGTAAACACTAGGGAAGGCACTGTCCTCGGTGTTCTTAAACTTGCAGTACTCCTGCAGGAAAGGAAACACGGCAGAACTTGCCTTCGTTTCTGAAGTTCTGAAACTGGACTGCTCTGGTGACCTCACTTCCTGCATCTGTAAAATGGGTTGACGGCAATGCAGCCATCACAAAGCAGGCATACGTAACATGTCTAGCTCAGGACCTAGTAACGTAGAAAGCATTTTTTTTTTAAATTGGGAAAGTGGGCTTTTAAAAAATCAAGAGGCACGCACAAAAAATAAACATAAAAAAATAAAACTAGGGGCGCCTGGGTGGCTCAGTGGGTTAAAGCCTCTGCCTTCAGCTCGGGTCATGATCCCAGGGTCCTGGGATCAGGCCCTGCATCCGGGTCCCTGCTCGGCGGGGAGCCTGCTTCCCCCTCTCTCTCTCTGCCTGCCTCTCTGCCTACTTGTGATCTCTATCTGTCAAATAAATAAATAAAATCGTTTTAAAATAATAATAATAAAATAAAATAAAAAATAAAAATAAAAATCAAGAGATACACACACACAAATTAAAATTTAAAAATAAAAATAAAAACCAAGAAACACTAGATGCCTAGGAACAGCTCTAAGGCACCTCCCAGATTAGGGACCAAGGACAAGAACACCTTGTTTGCCAACAGTCCAACTAGCAACAGAAACATTCCCGCTACCTCCATTCCTTTGGGACTTTTGTTTTTTTAAGAAATTTTTTTAAAGATTTTATTTATGTATTTGAGACACAGAGGGAGCATGAGCGGGTGGGGGGGGCGGTTGGAAGAGGCAGAGGGAGAGGGAGAAGCAGACTCCCCACTGAGCAGGGATTCCCAGGACCCTGGGATCATGGCCTGAGCCAAAGGCAGACGCTTAACCAACTGAGCCACCCAGGCGCCCCTCTTTTTTAGAATTTAAACAGAAATCACGGTATGGAAGGGAGGAATGGAGGTGGAGGTACAGCCCTAGGAAGACCCATGAACAGGTCCTCAGACAAGAATGCTACCTTTGTCCCGCCCGTTCAGTCTGATACACAGGCTCTCTCTCATTCTTACACTGTGCTGTAGAGTTTGGAAGTGCCTTCAGGTGATAACATATGAAGTTGTTTACACTTTGAAACAAGGCAGTGATGGGGAAAGGTTGCTCTCAGATGCAACACAGTATCAACATCCAAACGCAGCAGAACATCATCCCAGAGCAGACTGGATACAGCAGAAAACTTAGCAATGGAAAGTTGTACCAGAATGGTTAGGCAGATTAACGAGAGAGTAAAAAAGTCCAACCCAGAGAGTTGACAGAAAGAGAAACATTTTAACACTGCATACAGATTTAGTGCCATACATGAGAAAAGTGTTATTTTAAATTAGTTGGGGGAAGGGGCACCTGGATGGTTCCATCAGTTAAGCGTCTGCCTTCCCCTTAGGTCATGATCTCAGGCTCCTGGGATGGAGCCCTGTGTGTGTGTGGTGGGGGAGGGGGGTCCCTGCTCAGCGGGGAGCCTGCTTCTCTCTCTCTCTCTGCCTGCAACTCCCTGTCACTGGGGCTCTGTATATCTCTTTCCAATACATAAATAACCTTAAGAAAAGGAAAGAAAGCTATTGACTCAGTACCTGATTGTCTGATAAATGAGGAATTTGAGACCCAGAAAGTTCAGTGACCTGGTTAATAACTACACAGCTATTCAGCGACAGATCTGGGATGATGGCATTAAAGCACCTTATTCCCCAAATCAGTTGTGGTCTCTCAAACCTCTCTACCAGTGCGTAGGCTCTGCCTGGGTCTCTTTGGACACGACTTACTTCCCCTGACCCGGTTCCAGCCTCCCACACTGGGAAGTCTGGCCTTCCTCTCCCATATTCCCATATTCTGCTAATACCCGCTTCCCTCTGTGTCCCCGGCTTCCTGAGCACCCCCATATAAAGGAGCACTTCCACTCCTGCGTTCCTCACCTCCGCCACAGGCCTCGCCAGTGAGGGTGCTCCCTGGCACTAATGAACCTGATGCCTCTGCCTCCGTCCCCGCACCCCCCACTTCCACCCCACACCATCCCACCCCCACCCACCTCCAAGAACAGGACAGTGTTGCTGATGGCAGCAATCCTCTCCAGCTCCTGCCGGCTCTTCTCCATCTGTGCACTCCGGTGCTCCAGGTGCGTCTTGATGCCGTTGGCTTGGCTCAGAGCCGCTTGCTCCTTCTCCTCCAAGAAGAGCATCACGTCGGCCTGGGCCTTCCTCATGGCGGCAAGCAGCTCCCCAAACTGCTCCTCAGCCACCGCCTTCACCTCTGACACCGACAGCTGGCGAGGGAGGGGGCAGAGAAGAAAAGGTTAGCGAGGCATGCAAGGTTCTGGAAGTTCAGCCCACAGGACCGTAACCCCGAAAAGCCCATAAGTTAGGGAGCAATTTTCTATTATAAAAGGAAGATTTGGGGGTTCCTAGGTGGCTCGGTTGGCTAAGCATCTGCCTTCTGGTCAGGTCTTGATCTCAGTGTCCTGGGATCGAGCCCCATGCTGGGCTCCCTGCTCAGCGGGGAGTCTGCTTCTTCTCTAGCTGCCCCTCTTCCCTCCCCACACCGCCCCCTCCAAATAAATAAATAAAATCTAAAAGGAAGATTTTATTCTCCTATAAATCCTGGAGTTCTGAAAAAAAAAAAGGGGGGGGGTTACTTATCCACCACCATCAACTTCATCTCTCACACATCTGATGCTCTTTGAGACTCCTGGTGGCTCGGACAGTCTGGGGTTACGATTCAAATATCTGAACTCAATTCTCCCACCAGGGAAATGCATGCACTCAGTATACTCGATGGTTCTCTTTCTTTCAGGACGGTAGTAATTTGGCTTCTTTGCCCAAATCAGTAACATGAGCTCACTTTCCCGGCATTTCATGACGTCAGATTAAACTGCCCACTGAGCCCATCAGAACTGAAAGGACTTCTAAGTGTATGGTGTCTCCATCAGGTATAAAATGTTTAGGGTCGGGGCACCTGGGTGGCTCCGTAGGTTAAAGCCTCTGCCTTTGGCTCAGGTCATGATCCCAGCGTCCTGGGATCGAGCCCCACATCCAGCTCTCTGCTCAGCAGGGAGCCTCCTTCCTCCTCTCTCTGCCTGCCTCTCTGCCTACTTGTGATCTCTGTCAAATAAATAAATAAAGTCTTTAAAAAAAAATGCTTAGGATATGGGCAGGTAGCCACAGCCCCTGAGCATAGCAGGACCCACACACCTGTGCTGAAGGAATGTACTGTCCAAATGAAATACAAAGCAAAGTCCATGTCATAAACACTAAGGGTCTGCACGATGGCACTTAGGCAGGTGCACGTGTACACTGCCCTTTCATAGGATGAACATCCTTTATGCCTGCCTTCAGTCAATATCATGTTTATAACATCAAGCCAAGTGTAAATGCTTTCCTCGGTCCTTTGGCAGTTCTTCAGGACCGGAGCTGACAGCTCTGTCTGACACCCAGTTTAAGCTTCATCGAACCGTCTTGGACATGCTTGCCTTTGCTCACAGTCCCTTCACCTCATTCCACAGCCCAGAGTTAGTTCTCTGCCTGCCTCAGTGTCCCCCACTGTCCCCACCCACACCGATCCCGTCTCAGAGCAATCCTGAGCAACTGCCCTGGGTGCTGTTCTCTGTTCCTCCTCTCGAGAGCAAGGGCCAGCCCTGGGCTCCAGGAGGGCCCAAACAACAGATACCTCAGAGGCTGAGGCTGCTAGGGCACCTCCATCCCCTGAAAGGAAAGATGGGGAGGGAAGGAGGAGAATAATGGGGGCCAGGAAAGGTAAGGACTCAGAAAGGATGGCACTCTGGGCCCAGGGCTTGTGAAAGCCTTAAGGTTTGCAGGGAGATAGGAAGAAATGATGAGGCCAGGTAGTTGGGAACCCTGCTTGGTCAGGGCTCAGGAATGCACTCCCACAAGAATGCTTAGTGGCCACCCAATCTTCAATCTACTGGCAAGGGAGGATAGATGGAGAGGAGGAGGAAGGAAGCAAGAGCATCTTTACTGGGGGTGGGAAGACGGGTAGAGCCTCTCTCTACACTGTCATTTTCTTGCCAACTGCCCCATCCCCACCCGTTGGCTTGCTCGAGGCCGGGGCAGCTGAACAGAACTAGAAATAAATGAGCTGGTAATGGGGACTAAGTAAGAAGGCAGATGGGAGATCGTCCCCAAATTCCTCAAGCCCAGACAGAGAAGAGCCCATGGAGAACAGTAGCTGTCATGTAAATGTCCAACATTAAATCTGTCATCCCTAAAGCATCCATTTCCAAAGATACCATCTGAAATAAACAGATTGCCGACTGTGTGACATGGCTGGGAGCACCACAACCGGGCAAGGGATTGGGCCACCCCACCACCAAGCTCCCTCTTTCAGAATTCCCTGGGGGATCTAGGTATCTGACCCCTTGAGCGACCCTGTGTCTTCCCAAGATTGAATTCCTGTTTTTTTTTTTTTTTAAGATTTTATTTATTTATTTATTTGACAGAGAGATCACAAGTAGGCAGAGAGGCAGGCAGAGAGAGAGGAGGAAGTAGGCTCCCTGCTGAGCAGAGAGCCTGACGAGGGGCTAGATCCCAGGACCCTGGGATCACGACCTGAGCCGAAGGCAGAGGCTTTAACCCACTGAGCCACCCAGGTGCCCCTGAATTCCTATTCTTACGCTTGAAATAAGCCAACTAAGAGTGAACCCATGAAACCCTAGACACCCACCTTGAACCCCAATAAAGGCAGACCCAGGTCTGTACTCTCTCCTTCCCTCTCTACCTGCAACCTTGCAGTGTGGCGTGTGGCCTCTGGCAGCATTCTGTGTCCTCCAAGACCCTTGAGTAATAAATCTCGTTCTTCAAAATGCCCTGAGAGTTCCCAGCTGACATGCATCCCACAATCGCAAGTTTCTCATAGAAGCACAATACCACGGGGCTGAGAAGCAGGAGTCTGAAGAGAGACTTCAGGGTCCAAATCCCCTCTCTTCCACCAAGGCCTTCCTGAGGAAGGCTGGATAGAAGGAGGCTTCAACTGATGTTGGCGTACTGACTCTTCCACTGTCAAATGTGACCTCTCTTTCCTACACTGTTATATGGAGAAATACTTGTTCCCCAGGGCGCCTGGGTGGCTCGGTCGTTAAGCATTTGCCTTTGGCTCAGGTCATGATCCCGGGGTCCTGGGATAGAGCTCCCTGCTCAGCAGGAAGCCTGTTTCTCCCTCTCCCTCTGCCTGTGCTCCCCCTGCTTGTGCTCTGTCAAATGAATAAATAAAATCTTTCCAAATAAATAAATAAATACTTGCTCCTTGCATGGAAATGGACTATGCAAAGGATATTTTTTACATAATGTGTAATAACAAAGAAAGACTAAAGAGAGGAGGGGCCACATGGGTAGCAAAGTACGGAAGCTAATGGCTTGAAGAGATTGAGGATGGTGCTTGCGCCTGTGAACATCTTGAGTTTCTTAGGTTGAGGGAGCAGCAATCCCAGGTTCCTGTTTCATCAATCTGGGCCCCCCAGACAAGTCTCGCCATCTCTCTGTGTTCATGTCCCTCGTACATGCTGGCTATTGTGAAAACTACCTCCCCAAGTTACCACACAGTCATGAGAAAAGCTGAGTGGGGATCAAAGTGTCTGAAAAATAAAGGGCTAGAAAAAAGGCAGGATGCTCCGTGTGGTTTTCTAGATTATCTTGAGCCTGGAAATCAACAATCTCCGAAGGTTTACAAGACTTTAAAAGGAAAATTATTTTTCTTCTTTTCATAAGAGAAAAGAAGATGTGGGTGCGAAAGAGGTGTTGATCTTTCACAGCTAGTGAGTTGTAAACACCGAGAAGGAGGAAATTAAAGTTGAAATGGATAACATGTATCAGATGTGGGTGGATGGATGGATGGATGGAAAGATGGATGAATGGATGGAAGGATGGATGGAAGGATGGGTGGATGGGTGGATGGGTGGATGGATGGAAAGAATAATTCATGGTATGCAAAGATGTTGCTGCTGACTCACTACCATAGCTTAGGTGTTTCACATTCTTTTTTGAATGATGGTTTGGCCTTCCACTAATGAGAAGTATTTGTGGAACTCTTTGGGTCCACTTAGAGTTTATATGAAAAGTGTCCATAAACTAGAGAGACTATAAAACCAAGTAGCCTGGCACACCACTGGCCTTATCAAGTTACCATCCACTAATTAAGCAGTTCTCCACTTTTTTCTTGCTGCCAGGACACAGGACTGGTGACACGTGCATGCTAAGCACCTTCCTAAGAAAAAAACCCAGATTCTCTGCCTGATTCGTAGAGTTCTAGCTAGATGCCCCCTCCGCCCCCCACCCCCAGCACGCCTTTCTTCTGGTCAAAAAAGCATACGCAAATGTAAAAACAAGAATGCTGTTATCACAGGACCAATCTGGCTCTTACTCTGTATCATTAAAAAGTAAATCACTTGCTAGTTTTGAACCTTAATTTCATAGGAAAAGCTGACAGCGAGCTGAGGCCCCCCCACCATGGAACCACTCATACCTCTACCTACAATTCTCATTTGCCAAGAAACCCCCAAAGAATCCCATGGACATGGAGGCTGGGCCTGCGACCCCATGTCCCACAACCCCAGATGGGCACAGCAGGTGACCCAGAGCAGCCTTACCAAAACGGATTTGTGATTGGCTTGGAGCCTGGCAATGGCGTTTTCATTCAACTTCAGCTTCTGTTCCAGCTCTAACTGGGTGTCCCGAAGCTCAGCCTAAGAGGGAAGAACGGCGTTAAGGAGTGTACACAGAATGTGTCCCCAGGAGCGAAGGCACTACCCACCCCTCCTGCGTGGAAAGGAGAATCTGACCTTGGGAGCTGCCTCAGAAGCCACGTGGAGGGCCCTAAAAGGACACGAAGGGTCAGCTGTGTGCCAGCGCCTCCTGGTGCTGAACTCAGCACAGATCAGCTAAAAATACCACGAGCACATACATTATGCGACACTAGTCATTACTTCCAGCATTGAGATGACCACACCCATGGTAGCTAAGTACCATTATCCCCATTTCTCAGATGATACCATCAAACCACCTGGTCAAGGTCACACAGTTCAACACCGGAGTCCAGCCCAGCCCAGCCCAGCCCATCTGCCCCCAGAATAACGTTAACAAGGAGTAGGAGCTGGAGCCAAGCATGGGAACCCCAGCTTTTCTACTTAGCAGCTGATCCTTTGGAAAAATCTACTTAACCTCTCTAGGCTTCCATTTCTTCACCTGTGAAATGGGGATAACGAATGCACCCAACCCATGGGGGTTTTGTGAGGACTGAGTGGAAGAGCGTGTGTTAATGCGAACTTGCTCCAGCAGCTGGCACATGTGTATGTGCCACCAACGTCAGCCATCGTGGGGGCCCCTCTTCTTGATTGCTGCTACTGATGTGGGAGCAGAGCCTGGCGAATGACAGAGCAGAAGCCGACACCTTGCAACCTCCCTCCCTCCACCTGCCACTTCTGGGTGGGACCTGTGTGACATTCTTGTAAAGATCTCCCAACTATCTTTTTTTTTTTTTTTAAGATTTTATGTATTTATTTGAGAGAGAGAGAGAGAGCATGAGAGGGGAGAAGGTCAGAGGGAGAAGCAGTACTCTCCACGGAGCTGGGAGACTGATGTGGGGCTGGATCCCAGAACTCCAGGATTAAGACCTAAGCCAAAGGCAGTGGCTTAAGCAACTGAGCCACCCAGGCATCCCTAAAGATCTCCCCACTATCTTAAAGTCAATGCCTTGCTAGAGAGAAAAACAACCTTAATTTGACAATGGCAAGGCCTCCAGTATCTTGTGGGTCCTCTTTAGCATATGAAAGTTCTCTTGAAACCTCTTTTTTCTTTACTTCCCCCATCTCCCAAGTATATAATCAGCCATCCTCCCCCGACCCCGGACAGCACTGGAGCAGCAGGTCTTTCCGCCCACGGGGCCCATCCCATGCTTTAATAAACTACCATTTTGCACCAAAGACGTCTCAAGAATTCCTTCTTGGTCCCAGGTTCCGGACCTCACCCCTTAGAACCTGATCTAGATTTCAAAACCACATCACTACCATGGCCGCTCTCCATCACACACTCACCACCAAGAGCCAGGCCAAGCTAGGCCTCCCAGCCTGGGCAAGTGCGTGCCTGAGAAGCTCAGGTTTGCCAGCTCTGACTCCACTGCCTGCTTCACCCTTCTGTCTGGAGACTCCCTAAACACTTTCTGCCAAGAAGTGGGCCAAGGCATGAAGCCTAAACCTTTGCGGTCTTCAAAGGCCCTCCAAGGGCATGAGTCAGCAAGAGAGAAAAGACAAGACTGGTTTTAAATGCTTCCAATAGGTTCTATCTGCATCAGAAGCTGCACGTTTGCGCCCTAAGGGAACTCAGTGGGCATCAGTGGTCTCTGCTTCCACCCCACCCCACTCCCCAACCTCTACCCCCCACTACCCCCTCCCCCCCCTACAGGAAGCCTGGGGAAAATTCCAGGCACCCAGGGACCAGAGGCCTGGCTCACTCTGCAGAAGGCACAGAACTTCTTAGTTTTGTTTTGTTTTGCTCAGGATCTGGGGTGCTGACTTGGAGCTGAGGGGGCCCTGTGACCCCCATCCCTGAAACCTTTTTCGGGGTGGGGGGAGGGTCTGGCCTATATGAGGGCAGTCCTGTAAAGGTTGAAGGTGGGGGGGGGGAGGGCGAAGTGCTTGTTTTAAGGTGGTGAAGACCACAACAGAACACATCCTGGCGAGGGGCCTGGGTAGCCCCAGCAGGATCCAGAGCCATGGGGGGAAATCCTAGAAAGTAGCCAGGAAGGGGATGCTCTCCCTTGCCTGCAGATTGCCATAAAAGGAGAAAAGGACTACTGAATGGGGACCTCTGAGTCACCCCATGGGAAGACACTCCGGATTACCACAAAAGGTAGGGCCGCTTTGGGAGACCTGCCTCTCCAGTTACGCCTGTTCCTAGAACATGACAGGGTGCCTTGGGTTCTGTCTCTAGGGTTTCCCAAGATGCCAGCCATTCACTCGTCTCAGGCCAGGGTGGATGGACTCGTCAGAAAAGCAGGACAGCAGTGCCGATGAGAGCAGGCAGCCCTGTACTGAAAGGCACAGAGGGTCCTGCCTACTTCAGCAAGGTAGTAAGTGTTGTGCAAAAGGCACAGTTTTAGGGGCTTGAAGACACGCCACTGTTGGCCATCTGATCTCTTGTCAAATCGCTGAGCTTCTCCCCTGGGGCATGGGGCACAGGAACAGATTAACATAATTGTTCTTGCTTCTATCTATAGGGGAAGGTGGTACCCAGAGCTTAGGGGTCAGACTTGGGGTTAGAGATGCAAATAGGAGCAGGAGAAGGAGAGAGAAGAAAGAAAATTCCAGGCGGTCCAGGTTCCTCTGTATTTCCATCCACACAATGGTGGCCTTTCTGAGTCCGCCTGGACTGACTTCATTCCCCAGCCAGTTGGTCAGAACCTACCACATGCCAGTCCCATCAAACAGGACACCCTCCCTGCTCTTGGAAGACATACAGCCTGGTAGAATGTGTAAGAACAACAACAACAACAAAAAAGAACAAGTTATGTGATACTGAGTCCAAGGCATTCCTCAGAACTTCTAGAAGAAATTCTTAGCCTGAGTGCCCTCAAAGCATCCATGTTGTGGCCACCAGCAAAGGGGCTATGGAAAATGCTGGTTCCTTGCTCCCCAGCGATGCATGAATACCTGTGGCTTGCAGAAACTTGGCTCCTGCTCTATAAGGAGACTGTGTCCCCAGGCTGCTTCCAGTCCCGAACCTTCTGGAACCGGTGCTGAGGCTGAATGTAATGTGGGCCCATGATCTAAGACAGATCTTCCCACTCTCAAGAACCCTGCCATCACTCTTGCTGACAACTCCTTCCTGGACCATGTAGCAGGTCACGGTCATGCCTCAGCCCTTAGGTTTTTCCAGGGAGCCGTGGAACTTGCCTTGGCTTCCTCCTTCAAATCCAAGCCCCCTGAGGACACAATGTGGTCTCACACTGAGCCCATAGGAAGCAATCGATGATGTGTGATAAGCTTGAGGAAGAACAAGAAAGAACCATGCGCACTTCCGGGGTCAGAACAAACAAGGTAATGGCCAGTGGAGTCCAAGTTTTATCAGGTTTTGCATGCACGCGGGCAGGTACACAGCCAGGCCAGCTGACCTTAAAAGCAAAGGGGCCTCAGGAAGCTGGCGGGGGCAGAGAGAAGTCCCCATCAGGAAGAGCCGGGATCTGGTAGACCAGCAGGATGGAACATGTATCAAAGAACAGCCATTTCCCAAAATCCGGAAGTTCTGTCCACTGGCACAGCTAGAGACGGGAGAAGCTTCAGGAGGGGTTCCCTTGGTTAACTGAGAAGTCAGTGGCTCTGGGGATCTGATGCAGATCTCAGCTGCTTTGTGTCCTCGTGACTGACCCAGCTATTTACACTTTCCTACAAGGACGTGCCTGCTTGAGTAATTAGCCCTTAACACAATCAAAAGTGACCTTCAGTGAGTCACTCCAGCAGGCGGGGGCCAGCTGAAGGGGATACGACGTTTCTGGGGCCTTCATTATGCCAGGTAAAACTTTCAAAATAATTCTGGGGGCATTTTCAGTCTCATCAACCCACTGTGTCTTCTGGGCTGATCTCTTGGGTTCCTTACGAGAAATCTTTTGGCTCCTAAGATTTGGCAGAGACACCTGGAGTGTGGCTGCCCTTACGAAAGAAACTTGCTCTCTGAGCTGAAAACAAGGCCACAGGAAAGAAATGGCGAGAGCTCTCTCAGGGAGAGCAGAAGAGTAAAGGTTTTGAACTGGGGTCCTCACCAAAAACCTGGGGTGTGGAGCTGCTGGATTGTACCTCTAGCCATGACTGCTTTTCAAGACCAAAAGTTGCTCTGGAGCCCCTTACCCAGTTTTTATTTCACCCTACACAGTCTCCCTGCCTGAACTTAGGGCTCTGTATATGCTCTCCTCAAGTCTTCCCGCTCAGAACTACAATTACCCTCTCTGCCATGCAACAGTCTACACCATGCTTAAAATCCATATTGTATCCATGCCAGTATAGACACACTATTTCTGAAAGGAAGCAGAAGAAAGTATTGTTTGTCTAAGGAAGGAGGTGAGGGGGATCCAGGCTGGAGGAAGAGCTTTTCCTGATATGATCTATTGCAAATTTGGTGGAGATTGCTTTTTAACATGTATATGCATCCCTTTTTCCAGTTAAATATAGTAACATTCAGATATTAGACCCCAAGAGAACAGCAGTACACCTTGTCTTAGTATCTCTACTATATGTGTGGCAGGATTTGGGTACCTCCCCCGCAAAAAAAGGTAAGGTTATAATAATGTCATCTCGGGGTCCTTCACTCACGTTCCCAAGGTAGGGTGACGTTCCAAAAGCTTCCATTCCTCGCTCCATGACTTAGCTGTCTGTGTGAGTTTGGCAAAATGTGACGCCAAAGAGGATTGCCACCCCAGAGAGTCATCTGAATGAGAAAATGCACAGAAAGCACCTGGCCCAGGGCGATGCTCAGTGAGGACCATTTTCCCTCAACTCTGTCGAGCTCTTCCCTTTGCCCCGTCTCTCTGTTGATTGCGAGCCTCTGCATGGTTACAGAAGCGCATAATACTGACCCTCATCCTGGTTATGTGTGGCAGCAAACGGCTTTCCGGACGGGACATTTCCCTGATTCCGGAAACATTGGAAGCAGCTGGCAGGGGCCTCCCTGAGCTGGGATTGGTGACTCACTAGCATCTGGAATACAGAGCTTTCCAGAACAATGGCCATGAACACTGGATTCAATCTGTGCCTAAGAAAGGACACGGAGGAGGGGCTCTAGCAAGTAAGCCCTTCCCAGAAAGCCCTTCCCTTTGGGGCCCAGGAACACTGGACCGAGGAATTACGGAATTACGGTGGGGCTCCCACCCTGTGCAGTGCAAACAGTGAGCTGCCCGCAGAATGAACGTAAGGAATGTGGGAGAAAAGTCAATTGCACTGCCCTACCCAGGGGGGGAAAAATAGCTCCTGAAAAGTCAAAGTTCGAGAAACCACGAACACAAAGTATCTAAGTCCATTCCCAAGAACTTCCCCATGCTCTGGGCTTTAGGGCAAAGAAAAGCTGGTTGTTCTAGAAACAGTTTCCCTATCTGATGGGAGTAAAATTACAGGCTGAGAGTATGGTGTTTCTTAGTCCCTCCTAGTACCTCTGTCTGCTGAGGAACTTCTGTTTTCCCTAAGTTTCCAATTGTAGTCTATCTTTACGTGTTTTCAAGCTCTCGGATTTCACAGCGGGTATTTCTAGAGGAGCACTTTCTACTGGTCTCCCGTTTGGGGTAAAGGGGAAAAAGAGAAATTAAGTGAAAGGTTTGTTTTTTTTCTCTTGAATTTCTGCCAAGATTTACATTTCATTCGTTGCCACACAGATCCAGCCAGAAGGTGATGTCACTGCCCTGAGCTCCAGAACTCCTACTCTTGTAGCCCCCACCCAAACACACATCCATCCACAAAAGCAGAGTGACAGAGAGGAAACTAGCAAGCATGAGGTCAGACAGACACACACAGAGACAGTACAGGGACAGCCAGATGGAAATGGGAGCAGAGCGACCCACTTCAGTTTCCAAAGCCAAGTGCAGTAGATATCTACCCTGGACAAACAGCCAGGGACTAAGTCTGAAGTCCTTGGCAAGACTCAGAACTCAGAAGCAAAGTCGGGAGCCCAGGGAGCTGTGGCAGTGGTCCCCACTTCCCTCTCCTGCATGGACCCCAGCACTTGCCTCCTTGTCCCTCCGGGCAGCATCCAAGGAAACCGAGGAATGGCCCTTGTGCTCATCCTGGCCACACTCCTGGCAGATGCACTGCCCGTCGGGGTGGCAGAAGGCGACCAGTGGGCTGTGGTGGGCAGGGCAGGTGCGCAGGTCCCGGTCCTTCACGGGCTCGGTCAGCTGGTGGCTGTGCAGTCTGCTGTTCTCCTGGTGAGGCCGCAGGTGCTCCTCGCAATAATTCACCATGCAGGTCAGGCAGGACTTGACCGCCTTCACCCTGCCAGTCCCAAGGCAGAAGTCACATAGGATCTCCGCCTCCCCGTCACCGTCAGGATCCCCCTGCCCTGCGGAGCCGCTGCCCTGTCCCTCCGTCTCCTCCTGAGGGCTCTCCAGGGATCCCATGTCCTCTTCTTCCACCAGGCTGCCTGACCCAGAGTCTGGGCTGACAGTGGCCAGAGGGTGAGCCGGGATCCCAGGCAGTGGCCCTGGGTCCATCAGATCCAACTCAGCCATCTGGAAGACTCCGGCGCCGGAGCCGTCCTTCCTCTGCCCCTTGTCCCAGGATCTTGTGCGGCCCAAGTCAGACAAGAAAGCCACGCCTCGATGATTGCAGCTGTCACAGGACTTTAACTGTTTCCGCCCTGCGGTAGGAAGCTCAGTTAGTCATTACTCCGATCCGGCTTGGACGGCGGCCAGCGGCTGTGACGATGAGGCAGCTAGGTTGTTCAGGCTGAGGACGGCCACTCCCAACGTCTCCCCAGGGGCTCAGGCCGCTCCTTGGGTCCAGCCCCGAAACTTCTATTCTTGCATGAAATCATTCGCACCCTATAGGCTCAGCTGAAGATCATGTGTGTCCATGGCTGCTCTGGAAAGAATTCGAGATTCCTGAGCTCTGCTGTAAAAAGGCTGTGGTGCTTTATGAGGCTTGACCAGCTACATTTTTTGTTTGCCTTTTTTCAAGGGATCTAAAATGCAAGGACTTCAACGATAGGTCAGACCTTCATCCCTTCCCATCTCGTAGAACTGGACATGAGGCACCTAACAAAAGGAGGATACGTGCCCCTGACCCTGACCTTGTCCATGCCACCTTCTTGCAAATGGGTGTTCAAGGGGATCAGAGGGTCAGGGACAGGGTCAGGGAAGAACATGTCTCCTTCTACATAAAGCTCAAATCCGCTCTCCCGGGCTACACGTCCCACCCCATGGTTCCTAGAAAGAGGTGTGTACCAAGAAACAGCCCCTTTGCCCACTTAATAAGGTGTTTCTGGACACAGCATGTGAGTGTTCTTACGCTGTCAAAATAACAAAGTACCACAGACTGGTGGATATAAACCACAGAAATTAATTTTCTCATGGTTCTGGAGGCTAAAATCCAAGATCAAGGTGTCAGCGGAGCTGGTCTCTTCTGAGGTCTCTCTCCTTGGCTTATAGATGACCATCTTCTGTTTTCACCTGGCTTTCCCTCTGTGTGTCTGTGTCCCAATCAATCTCCTCTCCTCCTATAAAGACACCAGTCATACTGGATTAGGGCCACCCTAGCGACCTCCTCTTAATTACCACTTTAAAGACCTTGTCTCCAAATACAATCACATTAAGAGGTCCTGGGTGTGAGGAGTTCAACAGATGAATTTGGGAGAGAAAGACACAATTTAGCCCAGAACACATGGACAGAGGACAGCACAGGAAGCATCTAGCTCCCTAAAGAAAGGAACTCCCAGGCATCACCACCGTATGGGGACCTACAGTTGTGCTGAGTGTCTGCTGGATGGGCACCAAGGGACCCAGGACGATTCCAGGGTGCCTGGACCCCAACATCTATATCCTGGAGAGGTTCTAGCCTCCGCCCTCCCCCGGACTTTTTCAGACATACTCAAAGGGATTTGGAAAGCTTATGAAATGGAGAAAGAGTGGGGGAGGGGGCCCTGGTCCAGTTCATACCTGGCATCTGGGGTTGAGGTGACTCCAAGACATGGTACTACTCCCCCGTTGCTCTCCACCCGGCACCCCGCTCCCCTCCCCCCCAGCTCTGCTGGGGATCTGGGTTAAACCAGATAAACCAAGGCACATTTCTTGTCGCTAACCAAGATGTTCCAAAAATTCAAAAACTCAAGCGGTTGTTCAAAGTTGGAGGGCATTAATATAGTAAAAATCTATCTCAGCCACAGCCCTGTTGTATTTTCAACATGCAACACTATTCAGCAAATAGAATATTTGTATACTGATTGCCTAAAAGCAGCCCTTTTTAGCAATGTGAAGTTCCCTAAGTGTCCCTGTCCGGAATGTTGTGGTCCCCATTGAAGAGCCCCCCAGTCCCACCCCCCGCCCCCAAGAGGCTTCCCTGCATTTAAATTCATGGTTTTTAGATCTCCAGCCAGGAGGGAAAGGAGCTGGTGTCTGCAGGCTCCCCTCTGTGCTCAGGGTTAGCAGATGGGGCCGTTTCCTTTCTGTCCCTTTTTCCGGAATGACCTGGTGGTTGAGGCTGAGCCGGTCTCACAGGCACAAAGCCTTTGATCTTCCTGAGAAGGAGGAGGGAAAGTGGCCCGGGGCTGAACCGAGGACTTTAAAACAGGCTGGTGGCCTCCTGGCCTCTCCCATTCATGCCTCCATCTCATTCCCACCCTCTCTCCTTTCATGAATTGCTTCCCTGCCCCACCCTCACCCCCCTCCACTGCCAACCCTACAGGGCAGCTCCCCACCCTCAGACCTTCTCTGGTTCCACATGGAGGAGCCGAAGCAGCATGGAAAACAGAAAATCTGAATTTCAGTCCCCACCTGGCCTGACAAAATCCTTTGTCCTCACAACACCCGAGTGTCCCCACCCATAAAATGAGCGCCTGAGTCAGGGCTGGCCTGAGATTCCTGGTTTGGCTGTCTGGGGCACTGTGTGGTCTCTGAGCTTCTGATCTCTGAGCTTCTCTTGACGTCTGAGCTTCTTGGGAGAGTGGACGCCCTCTGGAGGCTTGCCTCCAGCCCTCTGGGGACCACGGAATACACGGCAGCTTCTGAATCCCTACCAGGCCTTGAAGCCAAGCCTTCTAGTTGACAGGCGTAGCCCTGACTCTTCTTCCAGGGGATGTCATGCATCTCATTGCGCTTCAAATACCAGAAGACTGGGACCAACGTCTGGTGTATCTGTTGCACCTGTTGCACCAAGCGCTCCACAGCCTGTCCTCCTGCTGCCGCCCAGGAGGCCCCTAATGTTCTCAGTCTTTCTCAAACAGTTCCCTCGGCTTCCCAGACTTCACGGACATTTGGCTTCTCCACAGTTTCCTGCCACCTCTCAGCGGGTGCCCTTCCTTCTCTCACCCCTACTAATGACAGAGCCAGGGCGGGGTGGGCATCCGCCTCGTTCCCAGTCACAAGGTGCAGACCACCCACCCTATAGTCACATGTGGGGTTTTTTTCCCCCCTGCAGTAAAATACACATCGCATAAAACTGGCCATCCTTAACTGTTTTCAAGCATACCGTTCTGGGGCATTAAGGACATGCATACCATTGGCGACCATCCCCACATCCATCTCCAGAGCTTCTTCCCCCCCCCCCACTAACACTGTCACCATTCAAGCCTAACTCCCCATCCCTGCGCCCTGTGCCCCCAGTGGCTGGCAGGCACCCCTCTACTTTCCAACCCGATGAATCTAACGATTCCAGGTCCCGCATCTAAGTGGAATCAATATGGTATCCGTCCTTCTGTGTCTGGCTGTGTCCCTCCGCCTAAGGTCCCCACGGTTCATCCAGGTTGTCACCGGTGTGAGAATTCCCTTCCTTCTTCACACCTGGATTTTGTATTTGCCCGAAAGCTCTATCTCCAAAATCACGAACTGGTAATTTTACTGACTGTAGCTGCAGCTCCCTTGCTATAATGCCAGAAGGGGAAGAAAGTGCCACACGTCTAGCATGTCAACAACATAGTTCCTTGTTGTCGTCTTTCCCTTCCTGTCTTCCTGCTCTTCTGAGCTGCTTTTACACTCCAGGGCCCAGCATAAGCATGTCCCCTTTCCGCCCTCCATCTCACCTTGCCGGGAGCCCCAAAATGCTCCCACCTTCCCGGAGCCTGCACCTAAAGGCAAGGAACACTGGAGCAAGGTTCCCAGTCACACAGAGAGGCGCCACCATGAATTCAAGACGGCTACCCTCCCGAGGCCCCAGCACTGCCCAGCCCTGGTGCTGTGTTTTTCTAGGTAAACCCTCTCTTCCCTCCCCAGAAACCAGGCTCCTCCCTTCTCAACCCTCTTCCTTCTTCCTACTTCCCCTTTGTGCAGAGGATCTAGCCTCCTTGTGGAGGCGGAGGAAAATTAAGGCCATCCCACCTCGAGTTTTAGGGTTGACATAAGCACAGCCATCTTAGCTTTGGCAGCCATCTTAGGCCCCTGTGACCAAGGGCTGAACTTACTTTAGTTCCAGGGACCCCCACCCTGCTTTAGTAACAGGAATACCTAACCCTGTAAACACTTCCAGGGAAAACTGATATACCTAACCCTGTAAACACTTTCAAGAAAGTACCTAACCCTGTAAACAGCCCGGCAACAGCTAATCAGCTTACTGCAGAAAAGTCTGAAACTTCTCCTCCTCCCCCACCAAGCCTCTTGTAATGACCCATTAAAACCCCTGCCTTAACTAGCTTCGGGGTCCAAGTCCCTACTCCGCTGTGTCAGGTATACTTGGGCCCAAGCTTAAGCTTGTTGAATAAACCCTCGTGTGATTGCATCGGTGTTGGCTCCTTGGTGGTCTCTCAGATGTGAAAAGTTGGCCATTACACTCCTGCCTTCCCGTGAAAAAGGAGCCACTACTCAGGAACTCGCTGATGTCCCCACGACCAGCCCTACAGAGGTGCTAGCATCTCTCGCCTCTCTTCTTCCTCCTCCCCATGCCGTGGAAGCAGGGTCCCTAGATCTATTAAAGTCTAGTCCTTCCCTGAGAGTGTTGGACCCCCACCCCCACCCCAGTGCCGTCTTCTACTTCCCTGAACAAGGACTCTGCTCCTTCAGTTATGCTCCATCTTACACCCTTATTCTGTCCCTCTCCGCTAGCTCGCTCCCAGCAATTTGCAAACATACTCTAGTATCTTCCATTAAAAAAAAATTAGGGGCGCCTGGGTGGCTCAGTTGGTTAAGCGACTGCCTTGGGCTCAGGTCATGATCTGGTGATTAAGAAAAACTGTACTCTAGGGGCACCTGGGTGGCTCAGAGGGTTAAAGCCTCTGCCTCAGCTCAGGTCATGATCCCAGGGGTCTGGGATCTCAGGTCATGATCCCAGGGGTCTGGGATCGAGCTCCACATCGGGCTCTCTCCTTGGTGGGGAGCCTGCTTCCTCCTCTCTCTCTCCGCCTGCCTCTCTGCCTACTTGTGATCTCTCTCTGTTGAATAAATAAATAAATAAATAAATAAATCTAAAAAGAAAAAAAAAAGAAAAACTGTACTCTAAGACGGCTGACCCAACCAGCAAGGGAATTCCAGTCCCTGTCTCAAAGGCCTTCCAGGTTCTTCTTTCCTATTGCATTTCCCGCACGCACCAGAAGTACCAAGTATGCGGAAGTAGAAGGGTATAAATCGCCCTCCCTGCTTGTGCTCGCAGCTCAGACCTTTGGAGAATAACCCCGTCTGAGCCCACCATGTTAAATAAACCTCCCGTCCTCCAAAGACTCCGAGTGCCGCTTGGTTCTTCCGCCAGAATCCAGTCCAGGTTCTGCAACACCGGGGTCCTGGGATCGAATCCTGCATCGGGTT